CAGGCAGAGTGGACAGTGAGAGAGACAGAGAGAAAGGTCTTCCTTTTGCCGTTGGTTGACCCTCCAATGGCCGCCGCGGCCAGCACACTGCGGCCGGCACACCGCGCTGATCCAAAGCCAGGAGCCAGGTACTTATCCTGGTCTCCCATGGGGTGCAGGGCCCAAGCACTTGGGCCATCCTCCACTGCACTCCCTGGCCACAGCAGAGAGCTGGCCTGGAAGAGGGGCAACCGGGACAGAATCCGGCGCCCCGACCGGGACTAGAACCCGGTGTGCCAGCACCACAAGGCGGAGGATTAGCCTAGTGAGCCGCAGCGCTGGCCATTTCCATGCAGTTTTACCATGTGTCAATTCATGTGACCACTACCACAATCAGAACAGAATAGTTCTATCATAGTCTCCACTCTGCTAATAACCCCACTTCCTTCCTAATCTCTGGCAGCCACTAATCTGATGTCCATTTTAATAACTTTGTCACCTCAAGGTTATATCAATGGGATCATACAATAATCTTTTGATACTTTCTTCAACTTAGCTTGAGTCCCTTGAGATCCATTAAAATTGCTGTATCAGTAGTTGTTTTGTAGTGGGACAATGAGGATGATCATAGTTCTTGTCCCATGTGGAAGAATTGCCATGCAGACAGGGACAGTGAGCAAAATGAGAAACCTCCTGCCACAGCAGTCAGGAGGGGGATTCCAAGGAAGGAGTCGGCAGAGAAGCTTGCTAGTGGGGCTGTTATATACACACAGTGGCTCTCTCTGATTGGCTGCTTTCTGAAGAGTACAGATTTAACCAAACAGGGAGAAGCAGAATAACAACCAATCAGGAGGTGAGAATAACAGCCAATCAGAAGGCAAGGATAACAAACAACTCAGGGAACTGAAAGTGTATGCTAATGAGACATGCTACATAAATAAAATACATAAAATAATGGAGCAGCCTGTGTTTGCACAGAAGTGTTCAGAGTGCTCAATCAAGGTCCTTTGGACAGACTCAACATCTGAATACAAATTATTTGGGATACAGGGATTTGGGTGAACATAAATTTTCTTTTCTCTGGGATTAATGCCCAGGAGTGCAGTTGCTGGGTTGTATGGCAGTTTCATGCATGATTTTTAAAGAAATTGTCAAACTGTTTCCAGATTGACTATGTCATTTTACATTCCCACAATCAATGTAGAGTGACTCAGTTTCTAGTTTCGCTACATCTTTCTGAGCATTTGATTTTGTTTATATGTGTTATTTTAGCCATTATGCTAAGCAGTTAATAAAATGCTATTTAGGTTTTAATTTTCATTTATCTAATGGTTAATTATGTTGAATTTTTTTACGGGCTTAAATACTATCTGTACACTCTTTTTTTTTAAAAGATTTATTTTATTTATATGAAAGACAGAGTTACAGAGAGAGGTCTTCCATCCGCTGGCTCACTCCCCAGATGGATGCAATAGCTGGAGCTGAGCTGATCCTAAGCCAGGAGCCAGAAGCTTCCTCCAGGTCTCCCATATGGGTGCAGGGGCCCAAAGACCTGGGCCATCCTCCACTGCTATCCCAGACCATACCAGAGAGCTGGATAGGAAGAGGAGCAACCAGGACTAGAACCGGTGCCCACAGTGAAACATCTATTAATGTATCTGGCCCATTTTCTAAATGGATTGCTCTTTTCCAGTGGGGTTTTGAGAGTTCTTTATATATTATAGATATAAGTCTGCTTTGAATTTGTGGTTTGCAAGGATTTCCTCCCTGATATTTTTAAAAAATTCCTCCTATTGTCTAAACTTAAAAAACTGTACTATCTGCTCCTATGAGAAAACTCCAAGGATGATCTTGGATTCACTAAGTTCTGTCACTTGTAGAACCCAAGGAATTGCAAGGCATTTTCAGATGAGTCCTAATTCTGTTAAAAGCCCATATGGACCAAGTTCCTGGTTAGAGTTTAAAGGTGTAGAGATTAAAAGACATCTTCTGCCCTCAGAGGGCTACTTTAGTGGAAGAGGCAGTTAAACCAAATATTAACAATCTGGAATGCATGGTAAGTGCCAAGACAGAGTTCTCCCATGGTGCACCTGTCACCAGGGAGGGAATCTAAGATCAGGAAGCTGGGGGAGGTCATCCTGAGGAGCACCTTTCAAGGCCAGTCGAAAGAAACATACCTTTCCCAGAGTTCCCAGCAGGCCCTTTCCCATATGTATTTTCCAACCTCTCCGAATTTAATTCTCCTGCACACCTTTCACCATAAATTAATTTTAAAAGGCATAAATGTGGAAGAGGATCGTTTTTAAAGACTCTTTTCAGGAAGTCCCATATGGTGCTTGTGTGTGTGTGTGGCCTCTTGCCATTTTGCACTACCTACTACCTGGCACTTAGCCCTACAAGAGTCTCTGGCTGTATCTGAGCCCTTGTGGTATCTTGGCACCTTTCCTGTAAAAATGGGGATTTTAGAATGGCTGCTTTACAGGGTATGATAAAATTAAAGTTCATGGAACAGTGGCTGGCATATAATAAAACACTCAATACATACTAGCTATTTATCACAATGCTAAATCCATTCGTGTTATACTCAAGTGTACCTTTCACACATTGTAATGATAGGGCTAAAGTTACATAGTAGAAAATAGAAGGTGAAGGATAGATATCTGTCATCTAACTATCTAACAAACAGAAGCTGTAAAGTTGCCCTATGGGTACAGCATTATCTTCACACAAGAAAGCCCTATGTGTTAGAAATGGTGCTACCTGTCAGGAAAATTTTAAGAGGAAACAAAAAGGGTGAATGCAAAAAAAAAAAAAAAAAAAAAAAGCAAAATGGGGGCTTCTATTTCACAGAACATCCAGGAGGACTCACTCTGAGTTTTTGTGCATCCTTTATAGGTCTTTCCTACAGCACAGAGAAGTCCAGATAAAAAGAACTGACAACCACATAGACTGGTGCATTTTAAAATGTTGCAAGCAAATAAAAAAAAAGTTATGAGTATCACCTTATCTAATTTTTAAACTGTAATCTTTGCAGTAAATAGCGTCCATTTAACTTAATTACTGCTAGTTTCGAAATGTTTTTGCAGAAGTTGAGTTGGTACAGTAATATGGAAGTCTAGGAAATAGGGTCACACCTGTGTTCTATGGAAATGATTTGAATATTTGTTTTATATGGATTTTTATTCACTTTTTGCACATGCTACTAAAAAGGGGCCTCAATTGCTGAGCAAGCACGTGTAGCTTGTACAATGGCAAAGTGGGCCAAAAGCTTCATGTTGTGACCTGTTTTAAAAATACAGTATCTCAAAACTGAAAAAAAAATGCTCAGTGCTACAAAATAACTATTTTACATATGAGGAAACTAGAGCTCAGAGAAGCTGACTTAAGACCACACAACCAGTAATGATCAAGGGTAGGATCCCAACCCAGCTCCCCAGTCTTTGAATCCTATTTTCTCTCCTTACACCAAAGAAGCACATTTGCTGCTTGGCTTACTTCCCTAACCTATTTTTGCCTGACATCAACAGCCTAAATCATTTATTCATGATTGCTCTCAATAAAGCCATTTTTCTCATTGATTCAGGTGAAGACATTGATGTTTTTATTAGAGAGAAGAGAAAATAGTTAACAAGAGTTTTTTGTCCATTATTGAAATGATTCTTAAGATGAAAAGATTGAAAATCTCCAAGTCCTGCTCATAACACAGGGCTAAATCAATTTGTGGTAATGCTTGAATAATAAATAGATTTTTTCTCCTTTTCATTACTTATATTTGTCTTCATTTAGATTCAGCACCAACAGCCCTGACAAAGAGAGTAACCTGTACAAAAATAGTATCTAGAACTGTGTTATGCAATGCAGCAGCCACTAGGCACTTGTGGCTCTTGAAAGTTTAGCTGGGCCTAATCCCAACTGAAATGTTGCATGAGTATGAACCATACACTCATTTTTCACTTGTACATTAAAAAAAGGAGAGAGAATGGCCGGCATTGTGGCCCCGCCTCAGTATGGCTTCGCGTTATAAATAAGGACGCGCTGGTTCAAGTCCCGGCTCTCCGTTCTTGCGCCTGGGAAAGCAGCGGAGGATGGACCACGGCCTTAGGCCCCTGCCACGCACGTGCGAGACCCGGATGGAGTTCCTGACCCCAGTCGTGGCCATTTGGGGAATGAACCAGCTGATGGAAGATCTCTTTCTGCCTTTCAAATAAATAAATCTCAAAAAAAAAAAATCATGCTGGACATACTGGGTTAAATAAAATATTAAAAATACTTCCACCAGTTTCTTTTTATTCGTTTAATGTGGCTTCTAGAAAGCTCATAATTACATAAGTGGCTGGCATTTGTAACTCGCATTAGGTTTTTATTACCACTGGTAAAAGATAAAAATGAGGGGCGAGTCGCAGTGAAAGTGCATTTTCTTAACATTTCTGGGGGAGGTTAGCGAAAAGGGAAGAAACCGAAGCGCGGTCACAGGAGGTGTGACCCTCTGCGATAAGTACCTGCTGCTAATTGAGATGGAGGGGGCGTATTGTGATGCCGTTTCTTCTCCCCGCCCCCGCTGTTAACGGAGCAGGTGGCAGAGTTTCTTCCAAGGCCCCCTTCCCCGCCAGTCCTCGGGTCTCGGCGGGAGCCCGGTCATTGAACACACCTGCGCGCCCACGGAGGTGCGCGTCCGCGAACCCTGGCGCTGGGTCCACGCCCCCTCCCCCCGTATTTTTATTTTCCTGCCATCAACCGTCAGTCTCGCATTTCTCTCCGGAGAACCATCGAGTAGGTCGGGCCCGCCTGGGGTAAGCGCCCCACCACGTCCCCCCCTACCCCAGCTTAGGACTGGGAGCCGAGACGCCCCCGCCGGAGCCCGGCAACGAGCAGGGGGAGGTCCGGCGGCCGAAACGCCGCCGGCCAGGCGGCCCGCTGGGCCCCGGCTGCCGGCCAGCCGCGAACGGGAGGAGCCGCGGCGGGCGCGCCCGGGGCCTCCGGGCCGCGGGGGGCCGCTGTGACCCGCCTTGGCCCCGGTCGCGCCGCAGGCGGGGGAGCCGGGTTTCGGAGGAGAATCGGAAAGCGGAGGGTAGCCGAGGGGGGCGGGTGCTCAGGCAGCCGTCCGCTCCGCCCGAATCGCGGAGGAGCCGAGCCCGGGCCCGCCGCCCTCCTCCTCCATGAGGCCCGAGTGAGGCGCAGCGGCGAGAGCCGGCCCGCGGCGCCTCCTCCTGCGTCCTGCCCCGGAGCGCAGCGGCCGCGGCCCCCGGAGGTGGAGGAGGAGGAGGAGCATGTCGGACGGTTTCGATCGGGCCCCAGGTGCTGGTCGGGGCCGGAGCCGGGGCCTGGGCCGCGGAGGGGGCGGGCCTGAGGGCGGCGGTTTCCCGAACGGAGCGGGGCCTGCAGAGCGGCCGCGGCAGCAGCAGCCGCCACCGCAGCCCAAAGCCCCGGGCTTCCAGCAGCCGCCGCCGCTGCGCCAGCCCAGGACGGCCCCGCCGCCAGGGGCCCAGTGCGAGGCCCTCGCCGGCTCCCAGCGGCCTCCCCGGCCCGGGGCGCTCCCAGGTACGGAGCAGCTCGAGGGTCCCCGTCGTCCTGGGCCAACGCTTTCTCCCGACCCTCCCCCTCCCCACCCCCGACCCTCCGCGCGGGCCGAGGCCTGGCGCGCCGTCTCCTCTCCCCCCGCCCTGGTTCCCCGAAAGCATTCCCCGAGGGCGGCCCGCTTGTGACGGGGCAGGGACGGGCTCGGAACCGGGTTTGGAAGGTGGCCGCTAGAACCCTTTGTGCGCCCCGGCGGGGGGAGGGGCCGGGTGCGCGGTCTCGGAGTTCTGCCGTCCGGGGAGAAGTAAAATCGCCTCCCCCTCCCCAGCCCCGCCGAGCGAGACCCGAGGCGAGCTACCACCTCTTAACCGACTCGCCGAGCCCGAAGCGGGGAGGGGGGGACGCCCTCCCGCGTCCGTTTGGGAGGCAGGTATGTTCCTAAAGGAGCTAAACGCGAGCCTATTGTTCCCTTTGGCTGGCTTTCTGTATACATCCTAGGAATAAGCTTAAATTTCGTGACGGTTCCCGTTTAACTCGTCAAACCCTGGCCCTCCGCAGATGGTTTTTCCATGTGTAGTAAGTCGCTGTACAAAGGAATGAAAGTCTCTAACAACACCGCCCCTCCCCCCTTTTTTTTCCTTTCTCAGAACAAACGAGGCCCCTGAGAGCGCCACCTACTTCACAGGACAAAATCCCACAGCAGAACTCGGAGTCAGCAATGGCGAAGCCCCAGGTGGTTGTAGCTCCTGTACTAATGTCTAAGCTGTCGGCAAATGCCCCTGAATTTTACCCATCAGGTTATTCTAATTATACAGTAAGTATAGCCTTTCCTTAAGACTCTGGGTTAACATTGCTCGAATAATGGTGTTACTGCTTCATTTATCAGTGTTCTGCTGCTTCTGTACTACACATAAAAACACGTCATTCCGACGTGTTTCCGGAGGAAACAAACCTGATTCTGGAATATATTTTGCCATTATAGTCAATGGTATTAGAATGTAAGCTTGAAAGACTTCTTGTCTGCTTTGGCCTCTGTTGCATTCCCAGCTTCTATAGAGTGTAGGCTGAAAACTCAATGTCGTCAGGACATCTTTTGAAACTAAAATGTGTTTCCAGACTTTATGGATACTCCATAGGAGAGCAGCCACACCAAACTAGGGTTTCTTGTTTTTTAATGTTTGTTTTCATTTACTTGGCAGAGAGAGGGGAGGAGAGCACTTTAAGATTTTTTTTTTTTTATTTGAAAGAGCCAGAGGAAGAGTTCTTCTATTTGTTAATTCACTTCCCAAGTAGCGGCACCAAAGTGAGCAAATCTCAAGCCAGGAGCCTCTTCTAGGTCTCCCCCGTGGATGCAGGGGCCCAAGGAGTTGGGCCATCTTCCACTGCTTTCCCAGGCGCATTAGGAGGGAGCTGGATCAAAAGTGGAGCAGCTGGGACATGAATCTGTGCCCATATGGGATGCTGGCTGACGCTGTATGCCAGGGCTTTAACCAGATAGACCATAGCAGCCGCCTAGGGGTAGGGGAGTACTTTCATCCACTAATTCTCTCCCCAGATGTGTGTAACAGCCAGGGTTGGATCAGGCTGAAGCTGGTACCCCACAATCCAATCTAAGTGTCCTAAGTGTGTAGTAGGGACGCAAGTATTTGCTCTCACCTGATACCTCCTGTCCATTAGCAGGAAGCTCAATGGGAAATAGGTGGAACTCAAACTAGGCATTCTAATATGGGATGAAGGCATCCTCAACAGCACCTTAACACCTGTGCCTATTACTTGCCCCTGGTACTTTTTTGAGTCTTGAGAGTATACATCTGGTCTCTTGTTCCTAGTGATAATTAATTCCATTATGTTAAAAAGGTTTCTGGTGCAAGTAACCTGTATACAGAAATTTAAGGGGTTTTGATTAAAATCTTAGTTATATGTAAACATTTTTTTATTTGAGTGGTAAAGTTACAGTGAGAGGGAGAGAGAGATGGAGAGAAAGGTCTTCTATCTTCTGGTTCACTCTCCAAATGGCTGCAGCGGGCAGAGCTGGGCCGATCCAAAGCCAGGAGCCAGAAGCGTCTGAGTCTCCACGCAGGTGGGGGGACTCAAACATTTGGGCCACCTTCACTGCTTTCCTGGCCATAGCAGAGAGCTGGATTGGAAGAGGAGCAGCTTCTGGTGCTTCTGTACTACACGTGGGATGCCGGCACTGCAGGCAGATTAACCTACTCCACCACAGCGCCAGCCCCTGGTAGAAGAACTTTTAAACTTTCATATTTATCTTTGTCAATGACATAGCAATTTTTTAAATTGACCACACATTTCTCTTCAGCAAAAAACGTAACTCAGTTGATGTGTAGAAAGGAGTTTGCTGTGCTAGGTTAACTTAGATGAGTAAATGCATGGGGATTGATTTGTAGGAAAGTAGGGCAGGAACTTTTCAATCAAGTTGAAGAGATGATAGGTAATTCTTAATTATTTATAAGACCTGTCTTACCTATCTTCTTAGCTTTAGTGAAGTATAACCCAGAATAGTGTACATAAGGGTTAGCTCAAAGTTTCACAAAATTGACACACAGGTAACCAGTATCACAGGAAACAGCATCCCCAAAGCCCCTCTGTCACCTTCTAATCATTACCAGTGTATTAGACGAACTCTTTTTGATGTAATAGTTTTGCCTGCTTTCAAAGGTTATGTAAATGGAATCATACAGAATATATTCTTTGTTTCTTTCATTCAGCATCAAAATTAACCCAAGTGTAGCATATAATAGGGAATTTATTCTCAGAGCATGCCATCCCATGACTGGATCACAGTCCATCTGTCTATTGATGAACACTGGACCTCTTCCACTTCTGGACTATTAATAGAGCTGCTATTCCTCTCCATGTCTTGGTTAATATATGCCTTCATTTCTGTTTATCATGTACTGAGGAGTGGAGTTGCTGGGATATAATGTAGCTAGCTTTAGAGCCTACCAAAGAGATTATTCTATTGTATACGCTTGTATTTGATTTCCGATTACGTACTATCTGGTCAGCATTTAATATTTTTCTGTTTAGCCATTCTGTTTGTGTATGGCATCTGGTTATGGTTTTAGTTAGTTTCAGTTGGTATTTCTATTTTTTTAAGGTACAGAGAGGGAGAAACAGATCTTCTATCTGCTGATTCACTCCCCAAATGGCTATAACAGCAGCAGCTGGGCCAATCTGGAGCCAGGAGCTTCTTCCGGGCCTCCTATGCGGGTACAGGGGCCCAAGCACTTGGGCCATTTTTCTTCTGTTTTCTCAGTCCATCAGCAGGGAGCTCGATCTGAAGTAGAGCAGCCAGAACTCGAACTGGTGCCCGTATAGGATGATAGCGCCACAGGCACATGCTCAACCTACTGTGCCACAGTGCTGGCTCCATTAGTTGGTATTTTCTTACAGTTAACAATGGCATATCTTTAATTAAAGATTTATTTTATTTGAAAGGCAAAGTTAACTGGGCAGGAGTTGAGGGGAGAGACAGGGAGAAAGAAAGATCACACATCTGCTGGTTCACTCCCCAAATGACCTGGCCAGGAGCTTCTTCCAGGTTTCCCACATGGGTTTAGGGGCCCAAGCACATTAGCAGGGAGCTAGATCAGAAGTGGAGCAGCTGTGACTTTTAACTATTGCCCATATGGGATGCCAGCATCACAGGCAGCAACTTTTCCTGCTGTGTCACAACGCTGGCCGCTGTATCTCTTTTTTTTTTCATATTCAATAGGAAAAGTTTGAAAAGCTGTATGTACTTGCCAGAGAAACTATGTTTCGACCATCTAGGAATAGGAAAAAGCTTTGGAATTGTTTAAAAAGGTGTAGAGGGGTTGACATGGGGTGAAATGGGCCATTTATTTTATAAAATGGAAATGGGAGCAACTTGGATTCTTTCCAGGATACTGTATTTGGCTGAGAGGTAAAGAGCCATTGGAAGGCTATGAGTAGTTGAATAAACTCTTAAGGGTATTTGCCTTGTAGTATCTACAATAAGTTCCCTGTTTGTTTTCCTTCCTGTTGACTTAGTTGTTCTATGATGGGAAGGATAGTTTTTTTCCCCACATAGTTCTGAACTATTTTTACATAGTTGCAGTGATTCCTCAGGGGTAGAACTGTGTGGTGTTAACCCACTTACTTAGAGCCCTGTCATCTGTTAGGCATTCCCTGCTGTGCTCTCATACATCAGCTCTTTCCATGGTCTGTGTGCACCAGTACCGATTGTGAACTGGAAGCCTCTGTGACCTACAAGGCTATGTCTTGGTAGTGGGTTATGTGTGTGTGTGTTTGAAAATTTAGGTTGTTTTAATTAAATCTCCAACACAAGTTAGATTTTACATGTCTGAGTTTGCTGTTTTCTCCAGAAATCGGTCCACTGTCACAGACTTGCACTTTGATGGAGCAGCAATTGGCTGGCACTGAATATATGCATTCCCTTTAAATGGAGTATGTGACCCCTAATTGCTCCCTGGCTTCCTTCATTCACTTCTAGCCCCTTGAGTTCTATAAACATTTAGGCTTGCAAACCCTGTTTTGGTACATTCTCTAGCCTTACTAGGTTATCCTAATATTTATCCTTGGCCAAGCCTAAGAGTTTCTCAGTCCACTTAGACAAAAGCAGAAGGCTTGCTTTTTTCCCCCAGTGAGGATAAGTTCTTGTAATAACCATAATCCAAAGTTACCCACATTCTTTTATGTATTCAACAAATAATTGAATACTTACCATAAGTCAAACACTGGAGATACAGCAGTGAACGCAATGGACAAAAATCCTTGTCTTCATGGAACCTCTGTTCTAGTCATATCCTTGCTCAGTTTCCAGAAATTCCTTGTTCTGTTTTTAAAAAAAATTTTATGAGAGACAGCTCCCATTCCCCCAGTTTATTCCCAAGTACCTGCAACAGCAGGGCCAAAGATGGGAGATGGGAACTCCCCAGGTTTCCAACATGGTGGCAGGAGCCCTGGGACTTCAGGCATTACCACTGCTTTCCAGGGTCTGCATTAACAGGAAGCTGGAGTCAAAGGGAGAACTGAGTATTGAATTCACATATTCTGATATGGAATGTAGGTGTCCTGGCTAAATCTGCCTTCCTTGTTTTTCTTTTGTTCTACACATGAAATCCATTTCCTAGTACCCCGAGATAGGTCTGCTCTAAGAATGCCGCCTTTTTCTGACAGCTTTTGTGGTAGCCTTTTGCTGTTAACTCTTTCAAAGCTCCAGGCCCCCATACCTGCAGTCCTTCCTCTAATCCTGCTACTAGAATTCCCTATTTTCCATAATTTTTTTATAAGTGAGTTCTGTATTCATCTGTTCCTGCTCATTGCTTCTTAAATAAACTACATCTTGAATAGGCAATCATAATTCACTTGCCTTGGGCCCCTGCACCCCTGTGGAAGACCTGGAAGAAGCTCCTGGCTTCGGATCAGCGCAGCTTTGACCGTTGCATACATTTGGGGATTGAACCAGCGGATGGAAGGCCTCTATTTCACTCTGCCTTTTTCTCTGCAACTCTGACTTTCAAATCTTTAAAAAACAAACAAACAAACAAAAAAACCAACAACTTGAGTAGCTACATGCATTTCTGTCACTGGGGATTAACAGATGACCAGCCTTTAAGATTTATTTTACTTGAGTTACAGAAAGAGGTAGAGACAGAGAGGTCTTCCATCTGCTGGTTCACTACCCAAATGGCTGCAACGGCCGGAGCTGAGCTGAGCTGATCAGTTGCCAGGAGCCAGGAACTTCTTCCGGGTCTTCCACGTGGGTGCAGGGGCCCAAGGACTTGGGCCATCTTCCACTGCTTTCTCAGGCCATAGCAGAGAGCTGAATCGAAGAGGAGTAGCCAGGACTAGAACTGGTGCCCATATGGGTTGCCGACACTTCAGGCCAGGGCTTTAATCCACTGCACCACAGCAATGACCCCAAGAAAATTGTCAAACATCTCCAAGAATATAGAGAATAAGTGAGTCCTGTGGCCTCAACAGTAAACTACATTCTTGTTTCTGTATCCCTTGTCCATACATCCGTTCCCACTCTGAAGAAAATCCTAGTTCTTATTTCATTCATGAATAATATATATGTACATAAAGATTTATTTATTTGAAAGAGTTACAGGGAGGTGAGATGGTGATCTTCCATCCACTTGGTTTACCCCTCAGGGCTGGATTTGGCTGAAGCCAGGAGCTTCCAAGTTTCCCACATGGATGGCAGGGTCCCAAGGGCTTGGACCATTTTCTGATGCTTTTCCCAGGTCATTAACAGGGAGCTGGAGTAAAATGGAGCAGCTAAATCTCAAACTGCTACCTATCTGGGATGCCAGTGCTGTAGGTGACGACGGCTTAATCCACCATGCCACAGCACCGGCCCCAGTGATATTCTTAATGTTGACATTAGCATTGTAGTGAAATGAATTTATACTGTTTGAGCCATCTAGTAAATTTGCCAGTAATGAGAAGACAGCTCCATCCAGGTAAATGGAGATGTTATAACATCATCTGTTGGGCAAGGAAGAAATATGTTTCCATATACTTTATTTTATTAACATAATGAGCTTTATCATATAAAGGATCCTTAAAAATTAAAAAAAGCTGTGCTAAAGATAGGCCAGTTTAAACCCACCTTGTGTTTGTTTTGGCCAGTTACATGGAGTTAACTTTTCTTTTAAAATCTATAGGAATCCTATGAAGATGGTTGTGAGGATTATCCCACTCTATCAGAGTATGTTCAGGATTTTTTGAATCATCTCACCGAACAGCCTGGCAGTTTCGAAACTGAAATTGAACAGTTTGCAGAGACCCTGAATGGTTGGGTTACAACAGATGATGCTTTGCAAGAACTTGTGGAACTTATCTATCAACAGGTAGGTTGGCTGATGGCCAATGATGATCTTCCGATAGCTTCCTTGAAACGGGGATAATGGTTAGTTTTAGAGAAACTGGATTCATCTTCATCTTCTCTGTTCATGGCTGCTGTCAGGTCTGCTTTGTAATAGGTTCCTGTAACTCAGGATGCCAACTAGAGCCAAGTTAGACTACATACTTATCTATGTAGCCAAGGCCCTACACAGGCAGTAAAGAAAGTGTAGAAGGAAAATTGGGACAGTTATGAGGAAGACTGTGCATCACATGATTTTTTCCCTTCTGTTTTTATAGGATCTGAAATCAGTGTACAAGAAACACTGCAATTTTGTTCTGTCTTAAATCATGTAGCATGGGAGTAATTGAGAAACATAAAACTTTGTTTAAAAGAGCCGTACTGCAAAATATTCTGTCTTAATATTTTTGTCTCGACTTCCATTTAAAATATAAGGAATTACACTGTAACTCCTTGAAAGTCTCATGTCAATTGAGATTGTTTTTCACATTTAGTTTTGATCCCAGCATGTTGATCATTGACACACTGATGATATCTTAAGAATGAAAAATACAATATACAACACTGGCATCTTAAGCCTTTTTAGGAAAAAGAAATTTTGAGAGAGACAGAAAGCACCCATCTATTGGTTGATTCCCTTAAATATCCACAATGGCTGGTGCTGAGCTAGGGCTAAGGACAGGAGCCATGAAAGCTCTCCAGGTCTTCTGCGTAAGTGTTAGAAACCCAACTACCTGAACCACCTAAGCTCGGTGACCACTGCCTTTCAGGATCTGCCTTGGCAGGAAGCTGGAATCGGGAACTGTGAGTTGGGAATAGCATGGAAGCCAACTACGTTCCATATTGGAGTGCTTAACTGTTAGGCTAGATGTCTGCTCCTATGACAGTTTTTTAAGGTCAGTGTAAGAATGGCCAAAAAACAATAGAGGAACAGAAATATAAACTTTAGTCCTTTAAGCAAGTATAATTCAAATTTAGAATATGTGAATGGGGCCAGCATTGTGGCATAGCAGGTAAACCCACTGCCTGTGATGCCAGCATCCTATATGGGCACCGGTTCGAGTCTCAGCCACTCCACTTCTAACCCAGCTCCCTGCTGTGTGGGAGACCCATATGAATCCCTAGCTTTGACCTGGCCCAGCCCTGGTCATTGAGGTCATTTGGGAGTGAACCAGCAGATGGAAGATTGATCTTTCTGTCTTTCCCTTTCTCTCTATTTCAAATAAGTCTTTAGAAAAAGAATACATGAATAGATGATAATAGCAAGTTTATATTGGATACTTTTCCAAGTTGATCTAGACTGTTATAACAGTTGTACCAAGATTACCTAGTCAACTCTCAAGTTTTAAGAAATGCTTGTTTTTATAGAACTGCTCTTCTGATTCCTATTTTCTGCCTCAATGGATTAAAAAGGAATATGAAGGAAGAAAATGGAAGAATGTGCTTACCACTTTTTGGCTTTTCTTGTTTCTCTGTTTCAGCTATTCAGTAGGGTGCATGATTATAGTTTTTCAGAGCTGAGTCTATAACCTGATCATTAGTCATTTCTATGATTTTCCTTAAAACCAATTTTTTGGGATACAATCTGCATTTTAAAGTTTTAACATTCTTTAGTTGATAGTACATTGACCATATACAGATTTATCAACAGCTTTTAAATTTCACTGTTGTAAATGAAAATGGAAATTGACTCTTAGCGAGTAACAGAACTAAACAGACACATTCAACTTTGTTCCCTTCCCAGAGCACTAAAAATGACAATATGGGGATTTTAAAGAGGTAGAATTCCATAAGAACAAAAGTAAGGAGGTAAAAGCCTTCATTTTGAAGACTAGAAAGCAGGTGGCTGAGTGGTAACTGTCTTGGCAGACCCAAATTTCAATTCCAGGCCAGTTGGAAAAGCTGAGAATCGCTTTGATTTATAGTGCAGACCCTCCAAAAGGCTATAGAATAAGTATGGAATGATTCTTAAATTGGTAGACAATCTAAAAAATTAGACACTCTAGGTCTGTTTTTTGCATTAAGTAGCCACTAGGGTAAGTTTGATTATAGTCCTTCTCAGGAAGTTAACAAAGGGGGTATTCTACCAATGAGGGAAATTAAACCAAAGGCAAAGATATGAGAACCAGGGAAATGGAATTCTACAGGAGAAAAGCGAAATGAATCATCCAGATGATAGTGAAAGGAGATGTCAAGTTAATAGACACATTCACAGTAGGCCAAGAGGCAGCCAGTCTTCATTGGAGTAGGTCAGAAGGCTCCAGGAAAGATTCCCTGGTAAGATGAGCACACCTGCTGGGTTTGAAAGTATTAAGAAATTTACAGCCTGGTGAGTTTAGGGATAAATCAGTGAGAAGTATATGAAAACAAAGTAAGAAAAATTAGTAACTTAAGGAAAACATAATTGTTACAGAAAAGGAAAAATCAGTGTAATACATGATTCAGCTACAAATGGAAATACAACTGAAAAATCACAATAAAACCATTTTAGGAGATGGAGGGAATGGGAAATAGTGGAATGGGGTGAGTTAGCAGGATGAAAGCTAAAAGCTCGTCATTCATAGTGAGAATCTAGTAATGACATCTAAACTGAAAAATCTCATTCATGGGAATACAGAGGTTAAAACCTTTTTAGCTTGAATTGGAAATGGTTGTCCATGGAAGTAAAATTGGAATGTAGGTGAGAAAGTAGGAAACTGCTGTATGACAGGTTTTGTAGAACTGAAGTCTTAAACATTTTTAAATCGTATGTGATAACTTTAGAAAGAAACTAAAGGACCATAGACATTGGCAGTAATGGGAAGAGTGAGTTTGAATTTCAAGTCTTGTGCCAGCTAAGCATGTATGATGAGAAATCAGTCTGTAAGATCTAATAATTATAAAGCATTTAATGTATGCTAGGCAGTGTTAAGCACTTTACATGTAGTTAACTCATTTAATTCTCAATGAGTGCAAGATATTACTGTTAACCTCTGTATTAAAATATAAATGAGGATAAATGATTTGGCTAAGGTTACCACACCTAGTTAAGTAGACTGGAGGGACATCAGGCCATGTGTTAAATCTAAAATTTGTGACTTGAGCCATTAGTGTCTCTATTAGATGGTAAACTGTTTTCTACTATTCTTTAAAACATTCAATTTGGGCCGGCGCCACGGCTCACTAGGCTAATCCTCTGCCTTGCAGCGCCAGCACACCAGGTTCTAGTCCCGGTCGGGGCACCGGATTCTTTCCCGGTTGCCCCTCTTCCAGGCCAGCTCTCTGCTGTGGCCAGGGAGTACAGTGGAGGATGGCCCAAGTGCTTGGGCCCTGCACCCCATGGGAGACCAGGATAAGCACCTGGCTCCTGGCTTTGGATCAGCGCGGTGCGCCGGCCGCAGCAGCCATTGGAGGGTGAACCAAAGGCAAAAAGGAAGACCTTTCTCTCTCTCTCTCACTATCCACTCTGCCTGTTAAAAAAAAAAAAATTAAAGTCGAACTTCTTGAGTATTGCTTTGACTACATAACAGTCTGATATGTACTGTTAGTGTCTTCGCTTTTTTGTTTTTAATAGCCATTTTGATTTTCTTTACCACAGATGTTTGAAATGTTGTTTAACATACCTGGTATGAGACGCTTTATCACCCTAGCTGAAGCTCAGGGAAGCATCCATAGTCACAAAGCCGAAGGCCTGGGAAACTTATTCTGACCTATTAGACATCAAAGTCTTTGTTGTCTTGCCACTGAAAAGCACCACTGGCCAGTCATTTGGCCGCTGTTCACATGTGTAGTTATTATCATGTAGTTGGGAGTATGCATATTTTATGCAAAAATGGGTTAGCATCAAGAAATGTCTAATTGCCTTCTGGTAGCCTCAGAAATGGAGCAAGGGGAAGAACTTGCATTAAATGTTTTCATTGAACCTGTAATGTTGGGAGGGAGAATGAATTTAAATTTCCTTATGCTTACCAATTACAGATTTGTAGGTTTCTCTATACAACATTGATGGTCAGTTTTGTGAACCAAAATGTGGTTTTCTTTAGAATGTTGCTAAGTGTTTGCATTAATAATGATGTATCTATGTCATACAAAACTTTTCTTTTTAAAAGGCTACGTCTATCCCAAATTTCTCTTACATGGGAGCTCGCCTGTGTAATTACTTGTCCCATCATCTGACGATTAGCCCACAGAGTGGCAACTTTCGTCAATTGCTACTTCAAAGGTCAGTGTGAATATGAAAACTAAAGGAAATCTATTTCTATATGTACTAGAATTTTACCATTCCTCTTTTCTAAAGTTAGAGAAAGTTATAGGGACAATAGGGTGCCCCATTCTTATTTGCACAGTCCTAAAACTAGTCAGATGTCAGTATTTTTAAGTAATGGTCTCTCTTTGGTTTTGTGATTAGAAAGGCTTTTCCTTTCCCAAGATCTTAAAAATGATCACTTACAAGTTTCTAAGGATTTAATTTTATTTAGATAAGAATAAAAGTGAATACGTCCTTTCCTACTTGTTTGAACTATTTATCATATTGCATTTTTGTATTTGGGTTTTGATTCTGGACTTATAGTCCATTTATCACTTATTCTATCCATTTATAATAGCTCTACAAAAGCTCTAATGTTAAAAGTAACTGGTCTGGTTTTCCTTTTTCTTTTTTTTTTTTTTTTTTGGTGGAAGTTTCTTTGCTTGTTTTATCCAATGAACTTTAGAATCAGCGTTTGAAATTATACAACCTTTTTGGTATTTGTTAGGTATTTGGGGGATGATACTTACCTAGTTTAGGGAAAACTAATTTTCTTAGCATTTGCATTGTCTTCAATAAGGTCTTCAATTTTGTTTGTCTATCAGTTCTTTAGTATGAGTTCCATTGTATGGTTAAACTGCAGTGGAACAGAATTAAGATTCTAAATGAAAACCCCAGGGAAAGATTAAGGTTTTGATGAATGTGGTACTTCAGATGCATATGTGAAGGATAAATTATGTTGATAGCACACTGGTTAGCCATTTTAGGGAGGGAGGGGAACAAAATTCCTGTCTCAGTCCTTATACCAAAATAAACTCCAAACATCTCACTTAAAGTAAAATAGGTACTAAGGGGGAAATTGAAAATTAAACAAAGATTGGTAAAATCCTTTCAAGCAAGACATGAAACCAAGAAGTCCTAAAATTAACGAATTTAGTTACATATAGATTAGTTTTGGAAGGGAAGACATAAATTATATGAAGTAAAGTAAAATAGCAAAATTTTATAACACATGACCGTGAGCTCATTTACTTTGTATAAAGAGAATTCTTAGGAGTAAGAAAAAGATTATCTTAATAGAAATATTTGGAAAGGCTTTGAATAGATACAGTTTGGAAAAACATAAATAACAACACATAATAGCTTCTGGAAAGATAGGACATGTGTATTTCTAGGAGGTAGAATCCCAGAAAAGCTACCATAACTGTGACCTGCTACTCACCCGGGCTCTGCCTTCTGGTTTCTTAGATATTTAAAATAGGGCTCACACCCTGTCCCAACCCTTGGAAATTGGGGTGTAATTGGATTGTAGTGGAGCCTGAGTATGCCTTTCTTAAGCTTTCTAAATGATGCTACTGTGTAGCCATGGTTGAGAATAACTCTTCCCATTCTCTTTGATTCTCTACCCCTGAGTGCTTCTATAGTACTTCATTGCTGTTAAGATATTAATGTGGAAAATTAGTGATATCATAACAAGTAGTAAACAGCAAAGCATAATTCTGCCTCATTTAAAAATGAGCACTGTAATACTTTCCTGATAAGGAAAAGAACAATGGAAGTTGCCTTTAAAGCACTTACCTCTGTTATAGTGGTATTATAGGTGACTTTGTTCTTTATTTTTCTGTTTTACACTTAAGTAAAAATTTTAGTTTTTTAGCTTAAGAACGTCTAGGGTCTTAGGTAATCAACCATGTATAGGGGTAGGGATTTATTTTGCAGGTATGTAATTACAGCCTCATACAATTTAATGGAAAGTATGTCAAAATTTTTGGAAAATGGGCTAAATGAGTTTATTCTGGTGCAAAAATATTGAAATCCATGTTTAGGTTTTCCATAATACAGTTCCACAAAGTTTTTGGTTTTTTAAGATTTATTTATTTAGAAAACTAGTTTACAGAGCGAGAGATTCAGAGCTTCATCCGCAGGTTCACTCCATAAATGGCCACAATGGCCAAAATCGGGAGCTTCATCAAGGTCACCTATGTGAGTGACAGGGGCCCAAACACGTGGGTCCATTTCCTTTTTGCAGGCCATTAACAGGGAGCTGGACAGAAGTGGAGTAGCTGAGACACAAACTGGCACCCACATGGAATGCCAGCATTGCAGGCAAAGGCTTTACCTGCCATGCCACAGCACCAGCCACTTCAACTTTTTGAAGACCACTGATACATGTGGATAAAATTAAACTTTGATTTTTCCATGCACTTTTTGAAGTTCCCTTGTAATCACAGGGTTTATGGAAGAAAAAAGATGGTTTCATACAAACTTTCAGTTCCAGCATTTTAACAGAAAGGAAAGCGGTCAACAACAGCTGAGACAACCGAATTGCTGTTAATTGCTCTTTTCCATTATTAACCACAGTGTTCTATAAATGTCTAGCCCTTTTTTTTTTCTGATGAGGTTTTAATATGTATGAGAAAGTAACAAATGTCTTACCACATCTGACTCAAACACAGTGGTGCTCAGTTAATAGAGTTTGTAACATTGGAGTTGGTCAGCAGGCACAAGAAGCTATCCAGGTTTATTGTTGGCTCATAAACAGACCTAAGGTAAATTCTTGGGCAAGTAGTTTTTTTTCTTAAACTTACAGACTGTTTGAAAGCCTTCCATTCTCCATAAGCTCTTTCTTTTGTCTTTAAAAGAAACTGTAGAACATCAGCTTTATAAAACAAATGAATTTCAAAGGGTTTTCTCACACTTTATCATTAAAAATAAGAAAGTATTAAAACCAAAGTTACAAACTCTTATAAATCCATCTTGGTAATAAAAGGTGGCACTGTAGTTCACTTATGAACATAGTAGGGGCCCACTATGATTAGTTTAGACATCTTGTATGAGCTGTGATTGTAAGCCCTGAGAAGAGGATTTGTATTATCTGTGTGAGGCAGTTGGGCCTAATCAGAAAATAAAAGGAGGGAAAATCAGTAGATATGTTCAGATGCCATTGGAACAGAGACCATATCAGTTGCTTTCTGTATCATGATTCCAGTTGGAGTTTTTCTTCACTAATACTTTCCTGATATGTATAATGGAAATTATAAAGATGGACTTTAAAAAGTATTCATTTTAAGCATAGAGGCCTTATATCTATATTTTTAAAGATTTTATAAAATTCTTACATATATCCTACATATTCTTACAAAGTTTTTATATTCAAAAAGGTAGAAAATCTTAGGGTAAAAGCACAGAGCTTTCTTCACAAAAAGCCTTTAAGACTCAATGTGAGACTTTTTTGTTTGACAGTATGCTGTGAACCTCAGGAAACTACTATTGCTTAAATATATTAAAAACTTGATCTGACAGTTTTATTTTCAACTATTCCTATCAGTTTCTTAAAACTGAGAGCCTTTAGTATGAAAAGTTAATGAAGATATCTCTTGGGTGGGAACACTTTGTCTTTACTATAGAGGGTCAGAGCATTAGAACATCATGCTTAACTACCTCTCTTGATGTGGACAGCTGAATCAACAAATGGTCATCTTTTTTGACTTCTTATTATAAAGCAATGTGATATTATAAAGATTTGTCTTTTTATTAGGTGTCGGACTGAATATGAAGTTAAAGATCAAGCTGCAAAAGGTGATGAAGTGACTCGAAAACGATTTCATGCGTTTGTACTCTTCCTGGGAGAACTTTACCTTAACCTGGAGGTAAGATTTTTTTTTTAAACTATTAAGAAAGCTTGAAAACATAAATTGATTGCACTAAGGAACTTTTGTTCACATTTTTCTACAACATTCCAAGTGAAATAAAAGGGGGAATGGGAAAGAAGATGGCTCGGCACCTACTCCTGATAGTGTTTGTACTTCAATCCAACTTCTGTAATATTTGCTTCTCCTCTTTGTCAGGATGTTGAGAAATAATTAGAGCTAGTCTGTCCTTTTAGGAAGCTATGGTTTACATACGAATTTAAACTTATGAGGTGTATTACTTCTTGTATGGAAATGTTAATACATTTAGTCTGAGTTTGAGCTGGTGGCTCAGAGCAGCTTATTGCTTTTAAATGAAGAGGCGAGAGTAGAAGTTTCTGGCTTTTCACCATAATTTCACCTAGAATCTTCTAAGATTTATTTTTTTGAAAGGAAGAGTTAGAGAGCTCCATCTACTGTTTCACTCCCCAAATGGCCACAACTACTGGGGCTAGGCCAGGCCAAAGACAGGAGCTTCATCCTTGTCTTCCTCATTGGTGGCAGAGTCCCAAGCACTTGGGCCATCTTCTGCTATTTTCTCAGGTGCATTAGCTGGATTGGAAATGTAACAGCTGGAACTTGAACCATGTGGGATGCTGGTGTGCAGGTGATGGCTCAACCTGCTGTAACACAATGCCAGCTCCTCTAGAATTATTTCGTTAAATCTTTTTGTTTCTATTTTTGGAATTGACAAGCAAAATTTCTTTTCAGTAAGGACATTTTACATCTAAAATCTACCCTTGGGGCCGGCGCTGTGGCACAGCAAGTTAAAGCCCTGGCCTACAGCTCCAACATCCCATATGGGTGCCAGTTTGAGTACCAGCTGCTCTACTTCTGATCCAGCTCTCTGCTGTGGCCTGGGAAACTGGCCCAAGTCATTGGGCCCCTGCACCTGTGTTGGAGACCCAAAAGAAGCTCCTGGCTTCAGATCAGCTCAGTTCTGGCCATTGCAATCATTTGGGGAGTGAACCAGTAGATGGAAGACCTCTCTCTCTGGCTCTACCTCTCTCTGTAACTGTCTTTCAAATAAGTAAGATAAATTCTTAAACTATCCTTTGGGGCCAGTGCTATGTCATAGCTGATTAAGTCATCTGCTACTCCAGCATCCTACGTGGTGCTGGTTCGAATCCCAACTGTTCCACTTCCCCTTCAACTCCCTGTTATTGCATCTGGGAATTCAGCTGATAATGGCCCAAGTGACTGGACACCTTTACCTCCATAGGAGACCCAATTGAAGGTTCTGGCTTTGACCATGCACAGACTGTTATTGCAGCTGTTTGGGGAGTGAACCATGGATGGAAGATAACTTTTTTGTATCTCTTTCTCTCTAACTCTGCCTTTCAAATAAATCTTTTTTAAAAAAAGTCTGGGGCCAGCATTGTGGCATAGTAGTTTAAGCCTCCGCCTGTGATGCCTGCATCCCATATGGGTGCCAATTCAAATCCCGGCTGCTTCACTTCTTGTCCAGCTCCTTGCTAATGAGCCTGGGAAAGCAGCAGAAGATGGCCCAAGTCCTTGGGCCCCTGTACCCACTTGGGAAACCTAGAAAAAGCTCTGGGCTCTTGGCTTCAGCCTGGCTGTTGTGGTTTTTTTTAGAGTGAAGCAGTGGATGGAAGGCCTCTGTCTCCCTCTCTGATTCTGTAACTTTGCCTTTCAAATAAAAAATTTGTTAAAAATTCTATGTAATTTTCAAGTATACAAAATATTGTTAAATATAACTAAAGTACACTAGATCTCTTGGACTTATTTTTCTAAATGAAATTTTGTGTGCTTTGACCAATCATCTCATTCTCCAGCTCCTAAGAATGGTTCTTATTTGTGTGTGTGTGTGTGTGTGTGTGTGTGACATTTTTATGGAGTCAGTAGCTAAATAGATTTAGGTGGTGTACCTGAGTATATGCTTCTTAGTAGGCAGTAAAACTGAGCATTAGTGTGTAATGGGTTGGTGGTACTTGACTATTTTTTTTAGTGAATTCCATATATATAAGTATACACACACACACACACATATATTAGTCTGCATTTCAAATGAAAATGAGTGACCTATCTGCTGGGTACAGTCTCCCAAATGCCCACAACAGCCAGAGCTGGGCCAAGCCAAAATTAAAAGTCCAGAATTCAGTCTGGGTCTCCCATGTAGAGGGTAGCAACCCAAGTGTTTGAGCCATCATCTGCTGCCTCCCAGGATGCACATTAGCAGGAAGCTGGATTGTAGTCTTAAACATTGATTTGAGAATTTACTTTCATAAACATCATAATATACATATCATGAGATGCATGAATCCATTGTCAAATGCACACATATTTTTCAGTATAATCTTTAAGTCAAAATAAGAGCACCAATTTTATATGTGCCTTTCACGAAGTCATTCTTTATATATAGATTGAGTCTTTCAAATCTTTTATATATATAAAAGGTAGAGATAGAGATAGATTGATCTTCTACCCACTGGTTCACTCCCCAGTTGTTGCATCACTTAAGGCTGGGCCAGGCCGAAGCCAGGAGCTAGGAACTTCATTCGGGTCTCCCATGCCAGGGCCCAAAGATGTGAGCTATCTTCCACTGCTTTCCCAGGTACATTAGCAGGGAGCTGGATCTGAAGTGGAGCAGCCAGGACTCGAACTGGCACCCATATGGGATGCCAGCTCTGTAGATGGAGGCCTACCTTTCTATGCTACAGCGCCAGCCCCTCTTGAAGAGTAAATTCTAAGAATGCTACTGATGATTTCCTATGTGGAAGTAATAAAGTTAGGCCTGTAGGAGTATAAACATAAGGTATTTCCTCCAACTCCCTGCTAATATGCCTGGGAAAGCAGCAAGTGCTTGGGCCCCTGCAACCCAGGTAGGAGACTTGAATGGAGTTCCTGGTTTGGCCTGGTCCAGCCCAGGCTGTTGTGTCCATATTGGGGTGGACCAGCAGATGGAAGATGTCTCTCCATCTCTGTCACTGTGCCTTTCAAATAATCTTTCAAGGAAAAGACAAAGCATAGTTCTTGCACCTAAAATTTCTCTAACATGAGAAATGATATATGGATACCACTTTAATGAAAAATAGGATATTTAAAATGCTAAGATAAATAGGATATTTAAAAGGTCAAAAAATGTGGCAGCTTAAACTGGAGAATGCTTTATGAGACAGTAACATGATGGGCTTAAATTTTCCTGACTATTATGTGTGGAAAAAATGGAAATGAAATTGTACTTGTAGCTTAATATTTTATATGTAATTAAGAAGTCTTATTAATAAAGTAATTCTAATTCTGTGAAGATTCCAGAGTATGTTGCCATGATTTTTCTATTGTTGAACTAAAACAGTTTCGTTTGCCAACACCTCTTAGCACTTAATTATCTCTATTATATTTTAATATCATTACTTGTAATTTTCTCTTGTTCCATAAGATCAAGGGAACAAATGGACAGGTTATGAGAGCAGATATTCTTCAGGTTGGTCTTCGCGAGTTGCTCAATGCCCTCTTTTCTAATCCTGTGGATGACAACTTAATTTGTGCTGTAAAATTACTGAAGGTATGCCTTTAAAGTATTTTATTTATTCTTTAGAAGAAAAGTATAGTATATAAATGAGCTCAAGATTTAAGTTTCTACTTTAAATATTGATGTTTTTTCTTCTATAACAAAATCATTATGCAAGGGTACTTCAAAAATAGTGGAAAAATTAAAAGATGAATTCATTTTGAAATCTTCGTAGTTTTCCATAATACACCTTTTCCTTGAACTTTTGAAATCCATGTATTAGATTTTCATGTTTTTTGGTACTGAAATAAATTTACCTTCTAATTCCATTTTCCACATCATTTTGAAGTGCCCTCATATGTTGCTCCCCCTCTTCGTGGAGGAACGACACAGGACCCTGCGTTGTTCTTTCATCTGCTCGGCCCTCCCCGGGTTTGCTGCTGGTTCTTCCCGGGTTGGCTACCGACCCTTCCACCTCCGTGGAAGGGCGGTTCCCCCTGCCACTTTCCCCACTTCCGCGGGGGAGTGGCACACCGCCGGCCGGCTCTCTCGGGGGCTGCACAGGTGTTCCTTCAGATAGATGTTCCCCTTAGATGTTCCTGGTGCATGTTGTCTCTCTCCTCCTTTATAGTCCTTTTCCATCAATCCCAACTCTGCTACCCACACGCCGAGTATGCTGCTCTCCTCCAATCAGGAGCAGGTCCTACAGTTTATTGGTTGAACTGGAGGCAGCTGTGTAGAAGCTGTTTCTCCCTTCTCAGTGCCATATTGTGGGAGAGCAGATGCATAGAATAAGTCTTAATTCCAGTAACTTAGTCTAGTCCGGGTTGCTCCCCACACTCATATACTTATTTAATGTAAAGAAGCAAAATTAAGAGTGAAAAATGGAATTCCTTTGTTTCATCTGTAAATTCCCTGGCGTTCCCTTCTTGTGTCTGTATGAATTCTATATAGAATATCTTTAGTTGTGACTTTATTTGCCAGCTGATAAAATCTTAGATCTTTCCATGGCACACAGATTACCCCTTTGTTGAATAACTTCATAGTATTCCATTGTATGTATGTATATATTGCTTATTCTTTCAGACGTTTAGGTTATTTTCCATCTAGCCCCTTCAACACTGCTAGTAATCTTTCATCCTGTCTTTATTTGTGCAGACATTTCTTTGGGTTAAATTCCAAAACAGATTTGATAGATCAGTAAGCTGTACACAGTTGACAGGAAACACTACGTTTCTTTCCAAATGCCAGACTAGAGTGTAGTCTACCAGTAGTTAGTAAGTACATATACACCTTGTTCTCCACATGCTTATGTGACAGATTTGATAAGTCTTAGTTTTTGTTTTGGCTTAGATGCTGAGTAAAATTTTGCATTTTCATCAGTGAATTTAAGCATATCTTCATGTTTATTAGCCATTTATTTGTGAATTACCTATTTATACCCTTAATTTTATTTTACATGTTGCTTATTTTTATATGTTCAATAAGATGTAATAACCAGTCTTAGTCATACATGGAATATGAGGGCCTTCAAAAAGTTTGAGCAAATGAAGCTAAAAGATTGTGGGCGTGTTCCATGAACTTTTGGAAGCTTCCATATGTAACACACAATGACATTTACAAGCCATGTTTAAAGGCCTGCTATAGTTTTTTTCAATTTCTCTGTCAAAAAAATTAGCATGGAGATCTCTGAATAGATGATAGAGAATAATTGGAAATATTTAACTTGCTAAATTCATTCTAAATGCTTGAACTGCTTCTAATATCTTTTTAGAATTTCTGTGCTGTATTGAATTCCTTATTTTACTGATGCCTTCATTTTAGTTGACGGGGTCAGTTTTGGAAGATGCCTGGAAGGAAAAAGGAAAGACTGATATGGAAGAAATTATTCAGAGAATTGAAAATGTTGTCCTAGATGCTAACTGCAGCAGGTAGGAAACAATGTAGACGCCCAGTAACTCTTTTTTTCCTTAGTTTGTTTTCGTTTTTCTTTTTATTTTTTATTGACAGAATTAGAGACAGAAAGGTCTTCCTTCTGTTGGTTCACTCCCCAATTGGCCGCCACGGCCAGCGCTGCGCCGATCCAAAGCCAGGAGCCAGGTGCTTTACCTGGTCTCCCACGTGGGTGCAGGCGCTCAAACACTTGGGCCATCCTCCACTGCCCTCCCAGGCCACAGAGAGCTGGACTGGAAGAGGAGCAGCCGGGGCTAGAACCTGGCGCCCGTATGGGATGCCAGTGCCGCAGGTGGAGGATTAACCAAGTGAGCCACGGCACCGACCTCTTTTTCTTTTAAAGATTTTTATTATTTGAAAGGCAGAGTTACAAAGAGGCAGGGAGGGAGAGAGATCTTTATCTGCTACACGACAACACTGGCCCTTAGTTTTTTTCCTAATCTGCTGAACTTCAGGATTGTAATTGCTGTTACAGATCTCTAATAGTTTCTTTAAAGGTGTAATATTTTTACCTATGCTTTTGGCTCAGTAGCCATTGTTCAATTTCATTTGGAATTTTTTCCTATGGAAAGATGAATTTAGTGAAAAATAAACTTCAAGTACTCAACAAATATTTGGGTAAAGAACTACCAGAAGTACTACAGAAGACAGAAATTAAAGGATAATCACTATCTTTTAAGGACCATGTAGTCAGTTATATGGAACACATTTCAAAGCTGGGTTTCGTTTTAAAGGTGAGTTTATATCATAATGTGCAGAAAAAGCATTAGTAGTACTGTTAAATTTAGGAAATAAAGTTTTAGACACCTGTGACACGCAAGCCTGATAACAGTGACTACACTTTAACTCGTGCAACTCTTGTCTGCAGAGATGTAAAGCAGATGCTCTTGAAGCTTGTAGAACTCCGGTCAAGCAACTGGGGTAGAGTCCACGCAACTTCTACATACAGAGAAGCAACACCTGAGAATGATCCGAACTACTTTATGGTATGTTTGTGTTCATATTTTAAGTTCTGCTTATTGTTTGGAATTCATTTAATTTCTAAAACAGAATTCATTCTCTTATTCTTATTTGACTCAGAGTCGCCTACCTGCCAGCAGATCAGGTAAATAGACATTTAGATTCTTCCAGTAAAAGAGAGGTAGACTAAAAGATCCTCCAGTGGCAAGGGAGTTTGATAGGGCCAGGACTTCAGTGAGCAAATGGATGCCAGGAAGCTGTTCTTCCAGAGATCTCCTAACTGGAGACCTGCGTCTCAGACTGACTTTTGCATGTTGTATTAAAGTAAAATGAAATAAAAACAGTTCCCAGTCCCAGTGATGCCCTGAATCTGCTGACATGACCCAAAGAAAAGCAGTTGTGGAGGAATGCTCCTATAACCTGGTCTTGGGAAAAATTAAGGGAAGTAGTGGGACAGAGGGAAACTACAGCTAAAAATTCCGCCATGACTATGATAGACAATAGATAGCAGGATTAGAATCATGAGAACTTGAGATAATAAAAGAAATATATGAAAGTGAAAGTGAAAATGGCTTCTAGGAAGTGGGTTCTTTTGCGGTTTTAGTTTGATTTGCTTTTGCTTGTTGCATTATCAGGAGCAGATGGGTCACATTAGCCATGTTTCATTCATTAATGTACTTTAAAAGAAATTCTAAAATGACTACATACTTTGATCACTCTGATTCATCCTAGAATGAACCAACATTTTATACATCTGATGGTGTTCCTTTCACTGCAGCTGATCCAGGTATGTCTTCTCAGTCCTGTTTTCCCTTAAGGTTTTGGTAAATAGTAAATTACAGAAAACCACATAGTCCCCACCACAGAATTGTCACTTTTTGACAAATTCATGTCATCTCAAATAAAGACTTGTCTTATGTAGGGTATTATTTATAAGGGATCATGTGAGCCATTTCATATGAAAATCTGACTCTATAATGTCTTGCTGCTGTACTTTAACAACAAAGGATTAGAAGAAACCCTCAATTAAATGCAGCCATTTTTATTTTTTAAAGACTCTTAAACTTTCAGGTTATTAGAATGGAGAAAGAAAAAAAAAAGGGGGGCCGGCACCATGGCTCACTTGGCTAATCCTCTGCCTGTGGCACCGGCCTGGTTGGGCACCGGGTACTAGTTTCGGTTGCTTTTCTTCCAGTCCAGCTCTCTGCTGTAGCCTGGGAAGGCAGTGGAGGATGGCCCAAGTGCTTGGGTCCTGCACCCACATGGGAGACCGGGAGGAAGTACCTGGCTCCTGGCTTCGGAGCAGCACAGCACCAACCATAACAGCCATTAGAGTGAACCAACGGAAGGAAGACCTTTCTGTCTCTCTCACTGTCTATAACTTTCTCTCTCACTGACTCTACCTGGCAAAAAAGAGAATGGAGAAGAAAGATGGTTCTAATTTCCCAATATGGATTAGTGCTTATAGGTACTCAGAATTACAGATTTCATTAATACTTGATGATTCAGAGTTAATTAAAATTTAAATCTGCATACTTTCTTTTCTGGAAAGACATTTTATACAAAGATTGTTTTTCATTGTGATAGGACTACAGGGTAAATGAGAAATTTTCCCCACTTGAATACAAATTATAACCAGCTTGTCAGAATTTTCCCATTTGTTTGGATAGCAGGCATTGTGACTCTCATATGTCTAGACAAAGGAGTTTCTTTAGGGTGAGAATAGAATTAAGTTACAGGCTGTGAACATCTTCACCTACACTAAATGTTGCTAAATTTTCTTAGACTTATTTGAAAGGCAGACGCAGAGAGAGAGAGAGGTCTTCAACCTGCTGGTTCACTCCCCAGGTGGCTTCAACGGCCAGAACTGCGCCAATCCAAAGTCAGGAGCTGGGAGCGTCTTCCAGGTCTCCCATGTGGGTGCAGGGTCCCAAGGACCTGGGCCATCTTCCACTGCTTTCCCAGGTCAGGCATAGAGAGCTGGACTGGAAGTGGAGCAGCCGGGTCTCGAACTGAAACCCATTTGGGATGCTGGCACTGCAGGTGGTGGCCTCACCCAGTATGCTACAGCGCCAGCCCCGCTAAATTGTTTTTGAATATGATTTTGCCATTTAGTATTCCCGGGAGTAGTATACGGAGTTCTTGCTGCTCATCTTTGGCAACAGTTTTTATTAAACTTAATGTTTGTCAGTGTGATGGTACAGAATTCTGTCTTGCTGCCATATTTCCCTGGCATATGATACTGCATTTCTTTTCCTGATATTGGTTGACCTTTTGATTTCTTCCTTTGAGAATTTTTTGTTTTATCCTCTTTGCCCATATTGCTGTTGGACCATTTGTCTATCTGTATTTGTAATTCTTAATACAGTTTTGAAAAAAGTGATCCTTAGTTGGCTGAGGGTTTCAGTTATATTTTTTACCTCCTCTTCCCATATTGTTTATAATGTCTTACCATATAGAAGCTTTATTTTAATGTAAATAAAATTTATCTATCTTATTTTGGCTTTCTGTGATTGAAAAAAATTTCCTGGGGCTGGTGCTGTGGTGTAGTGGGTAAAGCCACCGCCTGCAGTGCCAGCATCCCATATGGGCGGGCATTGGTTCAAGTCCCGGCTGCTGCACTTCCAATCCAGCTCTCATGGCCTGGGAAAGCAGTGGAGGAAGCTCCTGGCTCCTGGCTTTGGAGCGGCACAACTCTGGCCATTGTGGCCAGTTAGGGAGTGAACCAGCAGATGGAAGACCTCTCTTTTTTTCCTTCTCTCTCTGTATAACTCTTTCAAATAAATAACTCCTAAAAAATTCCTTAAAACTGTGAAATTCAGTTTTCTCCTAAAAATCTTACTCTGGTATTTTTTCAAAGTTAGCTCTTTAATCCATCTCTACTTTTTGTATGTAGGATGTAACAGAAACTAAATATTTTTTCCATAGACTACTATCTCAGCAACAAATAATGAAGTCCTCTTTCCTGTTAGTGATAAGAAGCTCCCTCTGTTGTGTACCATGTAACTCCTCTGTGTGTCTTACTACTATGCTTATTCACATAGCTCTCTCCTGCTAGTCTGTCTAAACACCAATACTATATTTTTAATTTTTCTTCCTTACTGTCATAATTGCAGCGTGGTAAGCCAGATTTTTCCCTTTTCACTAATTCTTCAAGTTACCTTGATTCATTCATTCATCTATGACTAATCTGCGTATCCTATTTCTAGTGACTATTTTATAGAAATTCTATTTAATTTTTCAAGCTGAATTTCATTTCTGCATTTTATTCAAATTATCTGGACCTTTCTAGATACATTTATCTCATTCTAAACTTTTGTTTCATATTTTTGTTTAACTCTCCTTTTATGGTTATCACAGAAAAGTATTCCCTTATATCAGGTTTTTATAAAATTGTAATCTCATCCTTAATGATCTTAAACTTTAAGTTTAAAATCATTTACAAATGAGAGAAAAATAACAAAAGCAGAACTGTTCAAAGAATACCAGTCTACTCTTTACACAGATGTAACTAGTAGTTTGCTCACTTTGCTTTTTGTGCTCTCTGCACACCATGTGTAGCATTTGAAGATAAGTTAAATAAGTTAGATAAATGATGGCCTTGTATAAATGCTTCAATGTGTTAACTGTCTTTTTGTCTTCATGAAAACTTTCCCTGTGGCTTGCATTATAGGACCTTGAATCCACAATAGTTGTAGATCTGCTTCTGCAAGGAGCCACAGGGATACCATTGACTTTGACAGGTTTTTATTTTCTTGTCATAGGGATTTTTTATGTGAACAGTAGATATTTGCGGTACCAGGCCCATTGATACAAATTCCCTGGGGATTCAACTTCTCCAGAGTGCTCTATCCTCACCATAAACCTAGACAGAGGCAGCCAAGCTTCCTTGCCATCTCTTTGCCGCTTCAGGTGACTTCTGTTTTGTTAATGGCTGTCCTTTTTCTTAAGGTAACAGCCCTTGAAGGGTTGCGAATTTGCAAGGTGAGATGGGTATGGAACATAGATTCCATCTTTCTGAACCCAAGATCTTGGTTTCTGACCTTTTGTGGGTTTCAAAATCTGGGGACCTTTTTTATTCTGAGACCAGCACCATCTGTCAGCCTACTAGCTGCAAGAGCTGCAGTAGTTACAGATGGCTTTCAGTTCCTATTTCTTTTGTCATCTGGTGACTTTACTTCAATTTTAACTCATCCATACCTGAAAAAGAATGTTATATACCACAGGTGTTTCTTGCAGAGATTCTTATGGTTAAAATAGTTTCTAAGTTGCCAAAATTGGATGTTGAAATATCAAATGTAGTTATTTGCTATCAGAATTTGAGGTAGCTTCTATTCCTAAGACACTAATCTTCCTTTTTTTAATATTTTTTATTTGAAAGAAAGAGGCAGAGAGAGAGGTCTTCCATCCAATGGTTCACTCACCAGTTGGCCGCAATGGCCGGAGCTGTGCCAATCCGGAGCCAGGAGCTTCTTCCGGGTTTCCCATGTGGGTGCAGGGGCCCAAGGACTTGGGCCATCTTCTGCTTGCCAGGCCATAGCAGAGAGCTGGATTGGAAGTAGAGCAGCCGGGTCTTGAACCAGCACCCATATGGGATGCCGGCGCCTCAGGCCAGGGCGTTAACCCACTGCTCCACAGCGCTGGACCCTCTAAGACACTAATCTTAAAAGGTACCCAGTAAGTCTGCCTAAGACAGTTAGCAGAGTTGTATCACCTGAATTGCCTTGGAAGATCTAACCAAGGGAAGGTTGACAGAGCTGAAACATTTACCAGGTAGCTGCCTTCCTGCTATCTCTTAGGGAAGGAAAAAAAGGAAAAGCCTCTGTGTTAAAACCTTTGCCAGCTAAACCTCACTTGACTGAGAAACATGGACCAGTTGCTGTTACCTGCTAGCCAGATAGCTTACTTTACCATCTTGTGGAATGCTAATGGAGAGCTGACAGCCAGGAGTATTGGATTAAAGTCCTTTCTAGAAGGAAAAAACGGCACTAAAGAATGAAAGCAGTATACACACCAGTTGTGAAATAAAATCTGGTATGTTATAGTGGCTCTCATTTCCAACTTAGAGGAGTATTTTATATAATTACCTTAAGGTTTCTTCTAAACCTTTTGTAGGGGGTGCAAAAGCAAACCACTTAGAATATAAGTTTTTGTTTTGTTTTTGTTTTAAGATTTATTTTATTTGAAAGGCAGAGTTGGGTGGGGGAGGAAGAGGAGGATCCTCCATCCATTGGTTCACTCCCCAAATTGCTGCAACACCTGGGGCTGTGCCAGGCCAAAGCCAGGAGCCAAGAGCTTCCTCTGGATTTCTCAACCCGGTGCAGGGGCCCACAATTGGCATCTTCCAATGCTTTCCTAGGCACAGGAGCTGGATCGGAAGTGGAACAGCCAGGTTTTATAAGATTTCATTTATTTGAGAGGTAGAATTACAGACAGAAAACCTTTCTGTCTCTCCCTCTATCTGCTGGTTCACTCCCCAAATGGCCACAACGATTAGAGCTGTTCCAAAGCCAGGAGCTTCTTCTGGGACTCCCACATGTGTACAAGGGCCCAAGCACTTGGGTCCTCTTCCACTGCTTTCCCAGGACACAAACAGAGCGGGATTGAAAGAGGAACAGCCAGGACATGAACCAGTGCCCATGTGGGATGCTGGCACCACAGGCAGAGGCTCAGCCTATTACTCCACAGCACCAGCCCTACTTCTGCTGTTTAAACATTGGATCTACTTACATGAAAAGTCATAGTATTAAAGGGGCTGGTGCTGTGGCGAAGCGGGTAAAGCTGCCATCTGTGGTGCCGGCATCCCATATAGGAGCTGGTTCGTGTCCTGGCTGCTCCACTTCCCATCCAGCTTTCTGCTATGGCATGGGAGAGCAGTAGAAGATGGCCCAAGTCCTTGGGCCCCTACACTCACGTGGGAGACCAGGAAGAAGCTCCTGGCTTTGGATCAGTGCAGCTCCAGCTGTTGCGGCCATCTGGGGAGTGAATAAGTGGATGGAGGACCTCCCTCGCGCTCTGCCTCTCCCTCGCGCTCTGCCTCTCCCTCGCGCTCTGCCTCTCCCTCGCGCTCTGCCTCTCCCTCGCGCTCTGCCTCTCCCTCGCGCTCTGCCTCTCCCTCGCGCTCTGCTCTCCCTCGCGCTCTGTCTCTCCCTCGCGCTCTGCCTCTCCCTCGCGCTCTGCCTCTCCCTCGCGCTCTGCCTCTCCCTCGCGCTCTGCCTCTCCCTCGCGCTCTGCCTCTCCCTCGCGCTCTGCCTCTCCCTTTCAAATCTTTAAAAAGTCATAGTATTAAAAAGGATTTTTAGGGGGAACTGGTTATTTCATATTTTTCTCCTTAGCATTTAGTTTTTATCTAATGTCTTATAGATTACCAAGAGAAATATCAAGAATTACTTGAAAGAGAAGATTTTTTCCCAGATTATGAAGAAAATGGAACAGATTTATCCGGGGCTGGTGATCCGTAAGTTCTCTTTTGAAAGGTTACTAAATTTTATGAAATTTCTATAACCAATTTGTAGATGGAGATTAAGCTAGAAAAGATGAAAGAATGGCATTTGGATTTAGAAGTGTTACAGTATTTATTTTCGATTATCTTAATATACAGAAGATCAGCTTAGTATACATTAAGTAAGGATTTCAACAGTTTGCTCCCACACAGAAACATAAAGTGAAAAATAATAGATGATTTTTTTTAATGATGATGAAATCAGATCAGACCTATTGTCATGTTTAATCCCAGTGAGAGTCAAGTTGGGAGTTGATAGTTTCTTTTCTTTTCTTTTTTTTTTTTTTTTTTTTTTTTTTTTTTACAGAGGATCAGTTTAGTATGCATAAAATGAATCTTGATGTGAATGGAAGGGGAGAGGGAGTGGGAAAGGGGAGGGTTGTGGGTAGGAGGGACGGTATGGGGGGGAAGCCATAGTAATCCATTATTCGTACTTTGGAAACGTATATTCATTAAATAAAAGTAAAAAAAAAAAAAAAAAAAAAAAAAAAAGAGCCTAGGGTGATTACTGAGGCCATAAACAAGAGTGTCAATTTAAGTCAACAACAGGAGTCACTGTGCACTTACTCCTCATGTAGGATCTTTGTCCTTAGTGTGCTGTACATTGAGATTTAATGCTATAACTAGTACTCAAACAGTATTTTTCACTTTATGTTTCTGTGTGGGAGCAAACTGTTGAAATCTTTACTTAATGTATGCTAAACTGATCTTCTGTATATAAAGAGAATTGAAAATGAATCTTGATGTGAATGGAAGGGGAGAGGGAGTGGATAAGGGGAGGGTTGCGGGTGGGAGGGATGTTATGGAGGGGAAGCCATTGTAATCCATAAGCTGTACTTTGGAAATTTATATTCATTAAATAAAAGTTTGAAAGAAAAAAAAAAAAAGAGGCAAGCTGAGACTAATAAACAGCTTAAATATTTAAAAAAAAAAAAAAAAAAAAAAAAAAAGTGTTACAGTATTTAAACATTACTGTTTAACAATTTGCCAAAAACTTTTATTATATAAACTCAATCTAAAAATCTATGTCAAGAAAAAACTATTGGAATCTTTTTTAAATTGTACCTAAACAAATTTTGCTTAAGTATTCTAAACTTTTACTATTTACATCTAGACTTTAATAAGCTCTAATACTTTAAGATTTGGGGCATCTTCTGTGCCTTTTGATCCATTTATAAACCAGAAATAGTAGTATTTGTCACTGAGTTTTCTAAAGAGCAAACAGACTACATTAAATACTTGACAGCCTTCTGGCACATACTAAAAGGCTCAAATCTTAGCTGTTAAAGGGTTAAAAGTCAAAAGAACACATTATAAAAACGGATCAATAGGAAGATGTAAGTTATAGCCCTGAAATGCATCTTAGTTTCTCCACCTGCCACTCTTTGTAATTGAAGACAGTTTTATTGTATTGCTTACCATCAGATTGCATTACACTTTGTTATAGAAGGACCAGTAACTTGTGAGGTTTAATTCTAGCTCTGTTAACACTTGCATGTATTTAGATAAGCTACTTAGGTTCGTTCTTAAATAGGAGGTGCGGGGGAACATTAAAGATTTGTTTGGGGCCGGCTCTGTGGTGCCAGCATCCCGTGTGAGCGCCGAGTCCTAGTCCCGATTGCACAGCTTTCTGCTGTGGCCTGGGAAGGCAGTGGAGGATGGCCCAAGTGCTTGGGCACCTGCACCTGCGTGGGAGACCAGAAAGAAGCACCTGGCTCCTGGCTTTGGATTGGCGAAGTTCCGGCCATAGTGGCCATTTGGGGGGTGAACCAATGGAAGGAAGATCTCTCTCTCACTGTCTAACTCCTATTTGTAAAAAAAAAAAGTTTGTTTGAAAGAGTTATACAGAGAGAGAGGGAGGGAGACCTTCCATCTGCTGAGTCACTCCCCAGTTGGCCATAACGGCCGGAGCTGTGCCAGTCCAAAGCCAGGAGTTGCTTCTGGGTCTCCCACCCAGGTGCAGGGGCCCAGGGACTTGGGCCATCCTCTACTGCTTTCCCAGACCATAGCAGGGAGCTAAATCAGAAGTGGTGCAGGAGCAGCTTTATCCGCTACGCCACAGCACTAGCCGCCCCCCCCTTTTTTTTTTTTTTTTTAAGATTTATTTATTTGAAAGGCAGAGTTAGAGAGGTCTTCCATCCACTAGTTCAATTCCCAGATAGCCTCAATGGCTGGGGCTGGGCCAGGCTGAAACCAGGAGCTTCATCTGGGTCTCCCTTATGGATGCAGGGACCCAGGCACTTGCACTGTCTTCCACTGCTGTCCCAGGTGCATTAACTTTGGAACTGGCGCCCATATGGGATGGCTGGTGCTGCAGGTGCAGGCTTAACCTATGCCACAGCACCAGCCTCTGTATACTAATTTAATAGAACATAAAGAGATAAGGACCCAGGCAGACTAGGAAGCTTCAGTTCTTCCGGATGTAACACTAGAGGTTAAAGTTGTTTTTGGCATTTTGAGTGTATCTTAAAGTTTAGTACAGTAAGCATCATCGTGTTTTCTTGCCCTAATGAGCTCGTGGTGGTTTCAACACATAGCTTAATAGTAATCTTTTTTTAGATGGCTATGAGAATTCAGTCAGAATGTATTAAAAATTTAATTGGCATTTAATTTTTCTCCCGTATTTAACTACCCCAAGTGTCGGAAAAAGTCTAGACTAATTATTTCAGAAGTAGATTCATTAAGAAAGTCTGATTTAAGAAAATTGGGAATCCGGGCTAAATTGAATAACCTAGCACAGAAATCATAACAGAGATAATACTTCCTGATGTTAGATATAACCATAGGAAGAATAATTCCTAATATTAAGTAGACATAAAATACCAGTGCATCACCAGAGGTGAAATCATGGTCTAAGTAGTGTAATTGCTTATTGATCTATATATTTATATTAACATCAATTGAGAACCCCCAAGTTTATATAAGGAAGCCTCAGAGTATGTTGAAAGTGGAATTAAGAGGTTGGCCATATGGCATAGAAGGTTAATCTCTACCTGCAACGTCAGCATCCCACATGGGTGCCGTTCCAAGACCCTTCTGCTCCATTTCTGATCTAGCTCCCTGCTAATGTGCCCGAGAAAGCAGTGGAGGATGTCCCAACTGCTTGGACCCCTGCACATACATGAGAGACCCAGAAGTTCCTGTCTCCTGGCTTCCACCTAGCCTGCATTGCAGCCATCTGGGGAGTGAACCCAGCAGATGGAAAATTTCTCCTTTCTCTTTGTCCTTCTCTGTTTCTGCCTTTCAAATAATAACTTTTTAAAGTAGAATCAAAGTTTATTTTGGCACAGAAATTGTGAAATCCATGAAAAGTTTTTTACATCATAGACATTTCTTCACTAACTTTCTGAAGAATCTCGTAGGATTTCAAAGGTTTTTGCACCAAGATGAATTTACTGTTAAACTTTTTAAATTTCCCTAGTATGTCTAGTGTTTTAACTTTTAGGTTAACATGTTTACAGGTATAGCAGAATCTTAACTCTAGATACAAGGGACATGGAGTCAGTATAAAATTTGACTTGTTGAAAAAAAAAATTTGACTTGTTGAATTACACATTGGATTGAGGACTTCATTTACATAATTCTAAAGTTAAGATGTATTCTAGTATAATTTGGTCTAGGAAAGTTACATTACATGGATTTTTTTGTTTCATGGCTTAGCATCTTAGACATTTCCTGAATTGAAGCATTAAACTTATGACACATTTGTTTCCTTTACAGATACTTGGATGATATTGATGATGAGATGGACCCAGAGATAGAAGAAGCTTATGAAAAGTTTTGTTTGGAATCAGAGCGTAAGAGAAAGCAATAAAGTTAAATTTCAGCGTATCAGTTTTATAAAACAGTTTAGGTATGGTGATTTAGCAGAACACAGGAAACCAAGAAGATTTGTCACTCTTATACCAAATTAAGGATGTTGAGTTACGTTACTAATGTATGCAACTTTAATTTTGTTTAACACTATCTGCCAAAATAAACTTTATTCCCTATAACTTAAAATGTGTATATATATAAAATAGATTATTATGTACAGTTAATTCTACTGTTTTGGCTGCAATAAAATCGATTTTGAAATAAATAAATGTTGAAAGTAAATTTTGCTAGCTGATAAGACACCTTAAATCCTACTTTTTCTTGAGGGGAAAAAGTCTTAGCCTTGGAAATACATACTGCAAAAATGTAGCATTTTTTTTATACAGGTATTATAGCTTACTTTAGTTTAGTATATCAGTGAATTGAGTTCCCAGTATGAACCAGGATCATGAAAATCTTTAGCATTAAAGTCTTAGAGAATATCATTGACAACTGATTGACAATGTAAATGCTGTTGGATACCAAGGGCTTTCAAAATGTCATTTAAAAAAAAAATAGAAAAGTTTAGAGAACTCTTAGCTCAACAATCAAGACTCTTCACTGAAGATTTATTTCAGTTCCAGAATTGTCTTTTTTTTTCCCCCTAAGTTCATTACCCTAAGGCCTAGAACATTATTCTGCTTTATCTCTGTGGCTTTCTCACTTTCATTTTGTAGCATGGGTTGCATAGACTTTTTTACTAGGGAATTATGAGATTTGTCATTCAAGTTTTCATCTGCTTTATAATTGATACACACTGAAGATCAATTTTCTAATACATTTTACTATAATGTGGTACCACCTCAGCCCTATTTGTTTACCTAATGTCAAATCTTTTTCCGACTAACTAAAATTTATGTACAAAAGATTGCTTGTAAATATGCATGTAAATAGTTCTATTAATAACCCACTGTTTTACATTTGGTACATCTATGTCTGTTAATACAGTTAGCTTTCTCACTTTTCTGCTTGTTTGTTCAGTCTGAATTAAAATTAGACTTTGAAATAAAACTTAAATAGTTTTGTTTCCTCTAAATTTTTGAGGTGGCATTCTGGTATTTTAAACCTACTGAACTTGTTTATGACAAAGTTTACTTAAAGGTTTGAAATTAGACTATACTAGGGTAGAAGATAGCTTATTTGATGTTTGTTGAATAAGAATTCAATTCAATGACAAGTCTACCTGGAAAAACTACCAAATATAAAACTTAAATTCTTTATTAAGGGGAATGGTGATATTGGAGTTTTATAAAGTTGAATGCTGTTACTTTTTTTTTTTTCCAAAATGGCTGATTCGGCGTGGTGGCCATTACCGTTATCTGCAATTTTCTGATGATACTGCATATTATAAATTTGAGGAGTGGTAGTACATTAAACCAGGGACCAAGGAATGCTCACTGTATATATTAAACTTCTAGCAGTTTCTGTATGAATGACCATCCTGTATTTGTTCGCTAGCTCAACTATTGCTATATTCACAGTACCCATGAAGAGGATCAACATATGTTCCAGATACTGCTGCTGCTTAAGACACTAAGTTTGGGTAGTTTTTAAAGCAACAAACATTTTGTCAATTTCATGGATTCGGTGGTTCAGGAATTTGTACAGGACACAATGAGGATGACTTTCCTTTATTACATAACGTCTGAGGTTTTGCATGGGAAAACTAAGGGCTGAGGGTAGGTCAAGCAGCTGGAAGATATCTGGTCATTGAGAATCATCTCACATGGCTGGAAACTAAACTGAGATGAGTTGAAGTTAGGACCAGACAAGAGCTGTTGACCACAACCATCCACACTGTGCTTGTCCATGTAGTTTGTACTTTTCACATCATTGGCTTGATTCTAAGATGGGCTTAACAAAAGACCCAGAAAGAAGCTGCAGTGTTACAATAGAACCTTCTCGGGGTTTTAATAATTTGATTAAAACAAAATCGGATAAGATGCTATAAGGGAATGTGTGGATGTGTCTTGAAATTGCAACAGCGCATAATGAATATGCCCTGTGCCACAATTTTTAGCCTTTAGGACTGCCATGTCTTCAACAGAAACATAAGTCTTCTCTAGAGATTATTAGTACAGATCTCCAGTGAACAAGGACGCACAGGTGCCAGGAAAGGTCAGACATGTGTTCTGGCAGGAAAACAAAAATACTGATTTTAACCTGGCAGTCCTGTCATCAGCTCAGAGCTTCTGCCTTGATGTTAATTCCCTCCAAACACATCTGATCCGGAGCCTGCTGGATTTGTTGTAGTGAGGGAGAAAACATACACCTTGGGCAAACTAAGATGTATCCCTGAGAGGATGTTAGAACGTGTTTAAGGATTTGGGCTTCTGGTGGATAATTTGGGGGATGGTCTAAGACACTGGAAGTTCACTCTAGGCTGCTTATCAGAAAACAAAGGTAATTCTATAAGGTATTCAAGGCAGTCTTTTGTGGAGGGAGGGCAGATGAATATGGGTTGAATTTACTCTTGTTTTTTAATTTTAAATCACACTTGTAAGAGGGAAATGTTTGACAAAGTAAAAACTTGTCCAGGACTGAAATTTGGCTCAAACTGGAAAAGAAAAAGGCTGTTCTACCATTAATCTGCTGGGAGGACAGGCAGAACTAGCTGCGAAGTTAGCAGGAAACATTCTCCCAAGGGCCTGCAGCAGCTATAAAATACCATCAGTACCCCCACCTCGTGTGACAGCCAATGTTCAACCAGTGATGTCCCCACACCTACATGTGTTACTGGAGATACCCAAATTGCTCAGCTGTCCTTAATGCATTGCGGTACTAAATCCAGTTCTCATCCTGCTGCAGAAACAGCATGTGACCCAGAGCTGGTCTCCTCACTTCATAGCTTTCTCAGAATCCTTCAGCAGGAACTCAAACCTTACCAAAGATGGCACCCTCCTCCCTCTTGTGTGTGCCCTCTTGGGTTCCCCTGTTGTGAGCTCTCTCCTAAATCGGTATGTGATTTCGTCAGATCACAGGTGTGAACCTGGTGGTCTTTGGTTGACTAGACTTTAGCAGATATAAATAATTGAACCTCATGTGCTGCTACCCTATTGTGTCAGCTGGCAAACACCAACCCTGGCTCAACCTAACCCTGCTTCTGCATTGTACCACTGTAACTTCATGGTCACCTTTAATTAGGCCAACAGCACAGCCAACAATTGTACTGTTTCTTCAATCACTTTAAACATTTTCAAACTCCACAGTGTTCCTTCATCCTGTAATTGATTTTTTGCCACGCAGGAAAAAAACTACAGGACAAATGTATACAAGTCCCATCTATTTTCCCGTATAGAAAGTATCCTTCCTGTTAAAAAGCCAGGTGTTTTGTTTTTGTTTTGCGAGGCAGAGTTAGAGAAAGGTCTTCCCTCCGTTGGTTCACTTCCCAAATGGCTGCCGCGGCCGGTGCTGCAATGATCGGAAGCCAGGAGCCGAGTGCTTCCTCCTGGTCTCCCATGCGTGTGCAGGGGCCCAAGCACTTGGGCCATCCTCCACTGCCTTCCAGGACCACAGCAGAGAGCTGGACTGGAAGAGGGGCAACTGAGACTAAAACCCGGCGCCCATATGGGATTCCCTGAAGGCGGAGGGTTAACCTAGTGAGCCACGGCGCCGGCCTCAAAGAGGCCAGTTTTTCAACATGTGCTGGAATCTTATCCTCATTCATGACTTGTGCTTGGTCAGTGGATAGATTTAATCTCTATTGGCTCTTCGTGTGAGCTTTGAAAATGTCATTCCTCTCGTCAAGAGAAATCACCTTGATCCTTCACTCCAGCTACAGTCCTATCTCTGCTTCTTGGAATGCTCGTGTTGCCTCCCTCACCACTCGCCCCTACCATTTCCTTCCTTCTTCCCCCTTCAAATCCACTATGGCTTCTGCCCCACTGTATGCAATGGCCCTTACTAAATTCTCCAGTGACCTGTATGTCGCTAAATTCAATAGACACTTCATATTTTTTTAGCTTGGCGCCCCTGGCAATATATGACAGCAAGATTGAAAACCTCAAGGCTTCCAGGACACAATAACTATTTCCTTAGGCTGTTCCTCCTCGATGCTTTTGGGCTGTTTTTGTTTGTCGCTCCCCCTCTTCGCGGAGGAACGACACTAAACCCTGCCTAGGCTTCATATCCAAGTCACGGCACCATTATGTCGCTCCCCCTCTTCGTGGAGGAACGACACAGGACCCTGCGCTGTTCTTTCATCTGCTCGGCCCTCCCCGGGTTTGCTGCTGGTTCTTCCCAGGTTGGCTACCGTCCCTTCCACCTCCGTGGAAGGGCGGTTCCCCCTGCCACTTTCCCCACTTCCGCGGGGGAGCGGCACACTGCCAGCCGGCTCTCTCGGGGGCTGCACAGGTGTTCCTTCAGATAGATGTTCCCCTTAGATGTTCCTGGTGCATGTTGTCTCTCTCCTCCTTTATAGTCCTCTTCCACCAATCCCAACTCTGCTACCCACACGCTGAGTACGCTGCTCTCCTCCAATCAGGAGCAGATCCTACAGTTTATTGGTTGAACTGGAGGCAGCTGTGTAGAAGCTGTTTCTCCCTTCTCAGCGCCATATTGTGGGAGAGCAGATGCATAGAAGAAGTCTTAATTCCAGTAACAGTCTAGTCCGAGTTGCTCCCCACATTTGTTTTGTTTTGTTTTGTTTTTAGCTTCTAAGTATCGATTCTTCAAAGTTTAGTCATAAAGATGTCACTATTCCTATGTCACAGTATTATTGGACTATTTAATTTTCTCCTGTGACTTTAGTTCGGTGCTATCAGCCAATGACTTCCAGGATTGTTCGATGGCATAACCACCTACTCACTTGCTCCAACAAGAAACCCTAAAAGTGTTTTTGCTGCCTCTGTCTAAAGCCCCATATTCATTCATCACCAAGAATAGTCACTCTCCTAAGTTTTTACTTGAGCTGTGTTTTTCTAGCCTTACTGCCCAGGTACTGAATTCTAACTGCCATTATCTCCTATTGCTTTTTCCACATCTGCTCTTGCATCCCATAGTACCTTCCTCACCCAGCAGTTCCAAGAAATCTTTCTAAAATACAAAATAGTGTCACAAAACTACTCTGCAGTAAAATTTCTATATAGGAGTTTCTCAGTCAATGGAGGGGAATAAGGAAGGAATGGGAACAAGGAAGGAATGGGATAGGATCTGTGCTGGCAGTGTATAATACAAACTTTCACATCGATGAAGATATGGCTGTCTAAGGAGACTATTGGCCTTCATAAAAGATTGAGATAAACTTTCAAATTAAGGAGTTTTCTAATCTATCTCAATGTTCCCACTTTTGCTTGAAGTCTCAGTGCTAAATAATTACACCTCAATAAAAGTGTTACAAAAAAAAACAACTTGGCCTAAGATAGGAAACTCTCCTTTTTGAAATTTGGTATCAGAAAATGTTTTAAAGTCTGTAAGTCATAAATCCATAATATAAAGTGGGAGTACCCATTGCAGGCTTCTTTGTCCTCAAACTTAAGGGTATTCTTCCAGCCAATTTAAGGGGAAACATCTTTCCCTTGGGCCTAGAGCCTGGGGTTTTAACCTCTCCTTGAAATACTTTCCCCTTCCTACCTGATTAACACCTACTTAAACTTCAGATTTCTTTACAAGTTTTTTTTGTTTTTTGTTTTTTGTTTTTTTTTGACAGGCAGAGTGGACAGTGAGAAAGACAGAGAGAAAGGTGTTCCTTTTTGCCGTTGGTTCACCCTCCGATGGCTACTGCGGCCGGCGCACCGCGCTGATCCAAAGCTAGGAGTCAGGTGCTTCTCCTGGTCTCCCATGGGGTGCAGGGCCCAAGCACTTGGGCCATCCTCCACTGCACTCCCTGGCCACAGCAGAGAGCTGGCCTGGAAGAGGGGCAACCGGGACAGACTCCGACGCCCAGACCGGGACTAGAACCCGGTATGCCGGCGCCGCAAGGCGGAGGATTAGCCTAGTGAGCCGCGGCGCCAACCTACAAGTATTTCTTTTGCCTCAGTTACATCTGCCCAATGCATGCTCTCACAGAGTTTTATTTTTGTTTCAGGAACACTTCACCGCGACTGTGATCAAATGAATTAATACACCAAGGAAGCGCCTGTTTTTCGGCTTCATCCCAAGTGTGTAGCAGGTTCTCCATAAGTACTTGCTTAATGGCAGTCAATACAGCCAACTTGTCTATCTGCTGTTTTAGAGGGGAGAAAAGAGTGCAGACACACAGTGGAAGGCATTTTCTAATACTAAATTAGGAAATGAAAGGGTTCTACCTTTGGCTAAGTTTTCTTTAACAGATTTATTAAAATACCAGTTGTTTGGATTACTTAAGTAAACATCACCCCACTAACATCCACTCTTGTGCTGCACCGTCTGAAGGCTGGTTCTTATCACGTTTTATTACAAGCAAGTCCTCCCTGACAGCGTCAGGTACTGGGAGTAAACGCCCAGAGGAGCCCAGCGTCTTCCGGCCTGCGGTGCTGCCCCCTCGCGCTTCCGGCCCCACCCGTGCGGAGCGAGCTGGGGGCGTGGCCCGGGGGCGTGGCCCGGGGCGGACTTCCGCTCCTCCTTTTCCGGAGACCTGAAGCCGCCGCCGCGGGGCGCGGGGATCTTTGAAACGCGGCTTTTGCGGCCTGAGCGGGGGTGGCCGTCTCGTGTCCGCTGCCCTAACTTGGCAGGCGTTTCAGACAAAGCGCTCTCCCAGTGGCCGTGTTCCTCTGCGGTGGCGATTGTTTTCCTTCGTCAAGAAGCGGTACTTGCTGGTAATTTGTCCAGGTTACGCGACATCCCTGGAGACGCGATCTTGGGCTGGCGCAGACCCAGCAGCTTCCAGCGTTTGGGCACATTTAAAGCCCGGAGGCCGTTGATCGGCCTCCTCTCCCCAACTTCTCAGCTCAGAACTGCTGTGTGAGTGCATGACGTGTGGTGGTGGTCCTGAGAAAGCCGTTTTTCTAACTAGAGGTCGTATTTTGAAAACAGGTTCTTGTTGATGTCAAGAACAGATCTGTGGCCTTACGATCTTTGAACATACTCTATATAAGCATTACGTGCTGGGTGTGCGAACGTGAACGGGGCTAAGACAGTCGAGATGCGGCTGGAAATGTGGGATGGAGCCGGACTGTGATTTTCGATGATACGCTGGGAGCTTTTGGACATTGCCATGTTTCTTGTGTGTGCCTGGTTATCTAAGCCATCTTGAAAACTGGTACCTCGATATAGCTGTTCAAACAACTTAGCCAAAGTAGAGACATCCAGCTGCGTATCAGGTCTTGATTTTTGAGTGAGATACCAAGTCGACCTTCCTGAATTTATTGCAGTAAATATCTGTTTCCAGTTAGTGAGTGTAAACAAGAGATATAAAGCAGTTGGTATGGTCTGACCTATGGAAGGTTACCCATGACAGCAACACTAAGTTAAAGGTGGATTAGAAGGAAAAGGTACTAGACGGTCGCAGGAACCGAGCACGGAAAAGGAGGCCGACAGAACCACGTTTAAGAGAAGGACTTCAGAATCAGCAGGGCTTGTTGCAGTGGTATGAAGGAAAGCAGATTGAGAGGTTAAATACTGCTAATATTGGCTGTTAACCTTCAGATGCCATTAACTCCAGTTGCAAACCCAAGAGGAGCAAGAATTTTAAAATCCACTTACTCTGAGCATTCAGTGTGTTGTGTCCTTATTTGCCTATGTTAGAAGCCGAGGATACAGTTGAATAAAACAGGTAAGTTCCCAACTTTGGTTGAGTTTTTATCAGTGAGAAAGCAAGTAAATAAACAGTTCCTGTCTTGTTAGTGATGCATTCTCTGAAGAAAAACAAATGAAATGTGGTAGGAAAAATGACAGAGATGGTTGGGGCAACTTTGACTTAGTTCTCAAGTTAGGCCTTTGTGAGAATGACATTTGTGTTGAGACCTTAATTTTGACAAAGTACCACCCTCATGATGAGTCAAGGGAGGGACAAGGGAGGTGTGGAAAGCAGTGCAGAGATTCTAAATTGGCAAGAGCTAGATTAAAGAACTCTGAAAGCCTAGTGTGGCTGACATGTCCTGAACAAGGGAGGGAGGGTTGGGAGATGACATTTTGAGAGGTAGATAAGGCCAGATTGTATGGCCTTGGCAAGTGGTAGTTAGGAGTTTGGATTTTAAGTGCAAATGGAAAATACTTGATGGATTTTATGCCAAGGAGGAATAGATCTGATTCAAGGAAAGAAATGAGTAAAAGTGAAATTAAGGGATATTACCGAAATCTACTTTTGGTGGGAGAGGTAGAGTTTCATTTTGGTCATGTTGAGTTTGATTTATCTGTGGGACAGGGACATGGAGAGAGGTTTAGTACGTAGCAAGCTGAAAGCTCTAGAGAGAGGTCAGATAGCTTTAGAAGTTCTCTAGAGAGAAAATTAAAGGTGCATGAGTCTCCTTCGGAGAGTCCTTAATGTTCAAATGTTTTCTTATATTGCTGAAATAGTCCACAAAATATTATAGAGTGTGTCATATAAAGCTGATTACATACAGTGAAAGGGAGTAGGATTAAAAAAGCGAGGCATAAGAGACAGGAGTTTATAGTAAGCAGGGATGCGGTGGAGAATATGGTTAGGTCTTGAAGAATCGTTGATTTAAGGGTTTGCTGAAAAAGAATGTTTACACTAACAACATAAGTAAAAATAATAGAGAGGGAAACCAGAGCAGCCCAGTATTAGGGGGTGCACATTGGGGAAGAAAGAGCTGGAACAAGGAAGACAGAACACACTGTCGCAAGTTGGCGACCAGGTAGGATGAAGACATCAGTGATCTTTGTAAAACAGTGTCAGTAGAGAGAGAACAAAGTCGGATTGCAGTATATTAAAGATTGTTAGAGAAAGTGGGCAGTAAGTGGATACTACACGTGAGAGATTTATTGGTAGAAAATACGGGTAAACGGAGAAAGTATTATCTATGGAAAGTTACTTTTTTTGTTCTGGCAGTTGAAACTTGATCACTTGAGTTATTATATTATCTGAAAAGGAAAATGTAGAGGGAATGCAGTTAGTGTTAGAAAGGAATGCAAACATTTCCCAAGATGTGTGGCACTGCCACAAGGTAACATTCACAGGGCTAAGTACTCGCTGGGGATGGTTTCTCAGTTAATCCTCACAGTAACCATGTTACTACTCCCATTTTACAAATGGGGAAGTAAAGGCTTATAGATAGTAAATGGTGGATTGAATGAACCTTAATTTAATTCCCTTTTTGCCACCTCTACATGGAGAGTGTAGGTGAAGATACAGTTTGAGGAGAGGAAATTGAATTCAGTGAGAGGAGGATAAATCACATCACTAGAAGATTAACTTGCTCAGTAGTGATATGGAGCTGGTTCCTAGGGTAAGGACAAGAATCTAGATATTTGAATTTTTTTTTTCAGTTTTTTTTTTCCCTTATGCCTAGTAGGTACCTTTGGCCTGCCCTTAGCATGTTTTAAGAATAACTTCCTGCATTTCTTACTGCAAATGTGAATTTACCTGTTTTTAGATACTTAGGATATAGTATACAAAAATCAAACTTAAGGAGAAGTAAACCTCCTAAAATTCAAAAGATGATTATTAGTTTATGAACTGTCTTCTCCCTCTAGGTTATGTTATTAAGGTAATGTCCTAGGAGTTAAGACATTTTGTTAAGATCACTTTTCCTCTAACAATAGTAAATGAAATGGCAATTTGTTTTTCTTATGTTCTTAGAAAACACATGCATTTATTTTGATCGAACTTTTGTACATTAAGAGAACTATTTGTGCTACTAAATTTCCTATTTCCTTCAGTCTTCACTTTGGAAAAATATCCTGTACAGTAATGACAACCGAAGTGCAAATGGTACTTTATGAAGATGATTCAGTGCAAGTACAGTATGTTGATGGCTCCAAATTACAGCTTTCTCCCTGTGGCTCTGAATTTTTATTTGAAAAGTCACCTCCTGCTTCAGCACATCCTTTAGAGCAACCACAAAGAATTCGCCAAAGGACACATTTTGTTATTAGCACTTACCGAGTAAGTAAGGATGTCATAAAAACTACTCATTTTATTATCAAAATATTGTCAAGGTGGGCCAAAATGTGAAAAATAATTAGTACTTTGGATTTCTGTCATACCAAATGGACTTTCAAATTATTCTGTATTTTTTAAGACTACATGTTGTATTTCTTTATATAGGAGCAACTACAGCGAGCCCTTGATTTTCGAAATTCTTCAGCTACTTGCCTTTTTTTATCTGAAAACATCATACCTTCTGAAAGAAAAAAGGTGATTTTTTTTAAACCTCATTCTTAGAAGTAATATTTGAGGACAGGTAATGAAAAATGGGTAGTTTACTGTTTAGTCTTTCTCCCCAACATTGGAATACACACATTGTTATATTAGGCCTATATAATTCTCCACGTTTAGGAACATAGAAGTTACATGATAATGCCATTTTCTCTGTAGCCAGGGATTATAATCAGAACTTTCCAAATTGGTCCTTCTCATAAATGTGAGCAATTATGTGACCATTTTCAGTAACTTAGGTTAACAAGATGTATGATTAATGTGTAGGTATAAAAATTTTATTCTTTTGCTTATAGTTTGACCTTTAGGAATAATAGCTATAATTTATCAAGGGTTAGCTGTGTGCCAAGAACTAAGAATTATATTAAAAACAATTAATAACAATAGCATGGCATGGGTACCTGCTGATCAAAATGGATATTCAGCCAACCAGAATAGGTAAATTGGCTAGATATTGGCCTTTTTTTTAAATAGATATAGAAACTGTGTCTTAGAAAGTTTACCTAATTGTCTGTGAAAATTATTTATTTATTTGAGAGAGAGACAAAGAATGAGACAAAGAGTGCTCCTATCCACTGGTAGATGCCCCCAAATCCTTGAAACAGCTGATGCTGGGCTGGGGCTGAAACCAGGAAAGAGAATACAATCTAGGTCTTCCTCATGGAGAACAGGAATCCAATTAGTTGAGACATCCCTGTTACTTCCTAGGTTCTGCATTGGCAAGAAACTGGAGTCAGAAGCAAGAACAGGGAATCAAACTCAGGCGCTTTGATTTGGGATGGGAGCATCTTAACCACTAGTCTAAACACTCCTACTGTGGAAATTTTTTAAGTGGCAAGTCGGGATTTGAACATGGTTTGTCTGATCCTGAAGACTATGCCTTTTAACTTCTCTCTGCTACCCTTCTATTCTCTCATGATATATGTCTGCCTACTGAGTAACTTTCTATTATTTCACATTGTGGCAAAGGACCGTAAAGAGTTGTGAACTTGGGGCAGGCATTGTGGTGTGGCTGGTTAAGCCATCTGCAGTGCCAGCCTCCCACTCAAGTCGGAGCTGCTCTACTTCCAGTCTAGCTCCTTGCTAATGTGCCTTGGGAAGCAGATGATGGCTCAAGTATTTGGATCCCTGCCACTCACATGGGAGACCTGGATGAAACTCATAGCTTTGACCTGGCCCAGCCTTTGCTGTTACGGCCATTTGGAGAGTGACCCAGTGGATGGAAGATTTCTCTCTGTCTCTGTCTCTCTGTCACTCTGCCTTTCAAATAAGCAAATCTAAAAAACAAACAAACGTCTGGAAGACTTATTACCAGTGTGTATTTTGAATAACTGTGCTCATTGATACTGAAAAGCTTGCTGCTGGTGCTGCTCTAGGATTATTAGCTAGCCTGATTCTATTTATTTATTTATATATTTATGTATGTGTGATTTATTTATTTCCTTACTTACTTGGCAGAGAAAGAGACAGATCTTCCATCTGCTAGTTCTCACAACAGCCAGGGCTGGACAAGGCCAGAACCAGGAGACCGGTACTCAATCCTGGTCTCCCATGTGGCTGGCAGGGACCTAAGTACTTTTTTTTTTTTTTAAGATTTATTTATTTATTTGAGAGAGAGAGAGTTATAGAAAGAGGGAGAAATAGAGAGGAAGGTCTTCCATCCACTGTTTCATTCCCCAAATGCCACAATAGCCAGAGCGAGCCAGTCTGAAGCCAGGAGACAGGTGCTTCTCTCTGGTCTCCCACGTGGGTGCAGGGGCCCAAGCACTTGGGCCATCTTCTACTGCTTTCCCAGGCCATAGCAGAGAGCTGAATCAGAAGAGGAGCAGCAGGGACACAAACCAGTGCCCACATGGGATGTTAGTGCTGTAGGCAGAAGCTTAGCCTGTTAGTCACAGCACATCTCCAGGGACCTAAGTACTTGAACATCATTTGATGCTTCCTAGAATGCACATTAACAGGATCTGAGTTGAAGTTAAGGAGTTAGGACTCAAACATGACACTTTGATAGAGATACAGGTGTTCCAAGCAGCGACTTAACCACTGTGCCAAACACCCGCCCGATAGTCTGATTCTAGAAGAGAGAATTGACTGTCCTTACAAACAAGCTTTAGATCAATAAATAGTGCCTTTTGGTGTCCTAATATTAGTATACATTGGTAGTACTGTAAATTTAAGAGACTGTCTTGAAAATCGTTTTGTAAATTTGGAGTTTTACATAAATGGAAATTGAAATGTTAAACTGTTGGCATAATTAATTAAGACTTATACAGCCAGTGCCGCAGCACAATAGGCCAATCCTCCACCTGTGGCACCAGCACCCCAGTTCTAGTCCCGGTTGGGGTGCCAGATTCTGTCCGGTTGCTCCTCTTCCAGTCCAGCTCTCTGCTGTGGCCCGGGAGGGCAGTGGAGGATGGCCCAAGTGCTTGGGCCCCTGCACCCGCATGGGAGACCAAGAGGAGGCACCTGGCTCCTGCCTTTGGATCAGCGTAGCGTGCTGGCTGTAGCAGCCATCTGGGGGGTGAACCAGTGGAAGGAAGACCTTTCTCTCTGTCTCTCTCTCTCTCTCACTGTCTAATTCTGCCTGTAAAAAAAAAAAAAAAAGAAAGAAAAAAGAAAAAAACCTACTATTTGTATCTTTTTTTTTTTTTTTACAGGCAGAGTGGACAGTGAGAGATTGAGACAGAGAGAAAGGTCTTCCTTTTGCCATTGGTTCACCCTCCAGTGGCCACTGTGGCTGGCGCGCTGGGGCTGGCACATCACGCTGATCCGAAGCCAGGAGCCAGGTGCTTCTCCTGGTCTCCCATGCAGGTGCAGGGCCCAAGCACTTGGGCCATCCTCCACTGTACTTCCGGGCCATAGCAGAGAGCTGGCCTGGAAGAGGGGCAACCGGGACAGAATCCGGTGCCCCAACTGGGACTAGAACCCGGTGTGCCAGCGCCACAAGGCGGAGGATTAGCCTATTGAGCCACAGCACCGGCCCACTATTTGTATCTTATATGTAGAAGACAACAGCCTGAGTCTATTTGCTATTGGTCAGAATCAGTTTACCTTTGAGTAATTCCATTTCTTTAAATGTTACCTTTTTTTTTTTTTTTGCTCTTTTTCTTTTAAAATAAATTATTTATTTGAAAGGTAGAGTTACTGAGAGGCAGAGGCAGAGAGAGAGAGAGAGAGAGAGAGAGAGAGAGAGGGTGAGAGAGGTATTCCATCCACTGGTTCACTCCCCAGTTGGCCACAACTGCCAGAGCTGCACCAATCTGAAGCCATGAGCCAGGAGCTTCCTCCAGGTCTTCATACATGGGCCATCCTCCACTGCTTTCCCAGGCCACAGCAGAGAGCTGGATTGGAAGCAGAGCAACCGGGACTCAAACCGGCGCCCATGTGGGATGCTGGCACTGCAGGCGGTGGTTTTACCCGCAACACCATGGCGCCAGCCCTATGTGTTACTTTTTAAGTAGCATTTCTTTTAGCGTATGATGTGCCAAAGTACTATCAAAGATAGGTACTTTATATGCTATCTAATGGTTCATATCTTTATCTTTAAATCATCTTATTTAGTGATAACTCTCTAAGACAGGGTTTCACAAATGCTAATAGTTCCAGTACTATTATTAAATAAATCGCTCTTTTCCCTCCTATTTTGAAAAGCTAATGTTCTCACATGTTACATTTTAAGATATAACTGAGTCTCAATTTGCATTTTCTGAGTTCTGTTAATGATTTTTATGATAGCTCTATATTTGTTTAAGCTATGATGGTTTTTAATATAATACATCATCACACTGGTCCTACCTCGTTTCTGTTCTTTTTCAGAGTAGATTTTGGAAGGGGTGGTGAAAAAAATCTATTTACTTGTGATTCATGGTACATTTTAAACCAAAATATGTTTGACACTAAATATAATCAAGATGTTGTTTTATGTCCCTTTTTCTAAGGGAAATAATCCTAACAATATCAAATATTCTCCAGAAATCTATACATAAGAATACACTGACATCTGGCTCTCCATTTTTTATTTCCTGCAGGTAGTAAAAACAAAATTATTTAAGTGGTTTCTTACATAATACCTAAACACAAAGTATAAGGAAATATTAGACTGTTAACAGATAATATTCACCATCTCTTTTTGCCTCTCAATTCAGCGTATCCTCATTGACATCTCAGAAGTAAGATGGCCCGGTCCTGATTCAGATGACAGCCTGATATGTATGGAGAGTGGCTCTGTGAAGATAACATCTCTAGATGGTCACGCGTACCTTTGCTTGCCCAAATCTCAGCATGAATTTACAGTACATTTCTTGTGTAAAGTTAGTCAGAAGCCAGACTCATCTATAGTACTGTCAGAAAAAAAAAATCAAGCCTCCAAAGACAAACTAAGTGGAAAAGCTGGCAGAATCGCTACACACAGAAGTTTATCAGGGCAAAGACTGAATAATAAAGAAAATGAACTTTATCACCAGACTGTGAAATGCAGAGAACCTTCAGAGAAGACAAGTTGTAGAAATGGAACTGAAGCGGGGGAAGAGCTGCTTTCTCCTGGTCCCAGACACACCTGTGTATACACGTGGGTAAAGCAGTGCTGGTCTGTAGCCTCCTGTCCAGAGGAATGGAAGTACCCTCTGTCTTTAGCACTTCGCTTTTACAATCAAGTTAGCAGTATGTCTAAAATTAAGGGAGATTTCACTCAGAGTGAAATTTTAACTTCTGATGTTTCCGAGGAAAGAGCAAAAGAGGTTTCTGTTCTTCCCAAGGCCGTGTCACTTAGCTGTCCTGTCCCACACCTGCACAGGTAATGGAAGAATGCCTTATTGGTCATATAACTTATGTCAGAACCAGTCATTACTTAAGGATAATTTTCTTTCTAAATCTGAAAGATTATGAAACCATTCATAAGGGAAGTTTGTTTAGTTGATCTGAAACTTCATATTTAAATAGTAGTTTAATAAGTATTATTTATTTAGTAGATAATTTCCCCAGCAAATGTGTTCTATATTCTTTACATTCGTGCACGGAATGTTTATGGAAGGTTGACTTTACTCTAGATCTTTTGTTAAGCACCATGACTGTGGAGATGACTAGGACATAGTTCCTGCTTTCTGGCAACTTAGAGTCTGGTGAAGATCACTGTCCCTAAAAGGTTTATTAAAATGTGGTAAGTAATGGGACAGAATCCACACAGGACTCTCTGTAGGAGCCAGCCCAGAGGACCCTCTGTTGCTTGCTGGAACATGGATCTGACAAGGTTATGACCATGGCTACCTCTGTCTTTGGTTAGCTGACTACAAACATGTCCATTTTCCAAAGGGGTAAGCATGGAGCAGCTTTTTTATGGCAACGTATAAACTTTACCTCAACTAAGAGATGAATAGCATAATAGTTACAGATTTGTCATGTGAATGGTATATAAATAATGAGAAATAATTTTAAAAGCTAACACCTAAAGCACTTATGTGCCAGGCACTGTTGTATTTTACCTGTTTAATCCTTATCGTAATCCCAAGAACTCAGTACTACTATCATCCGCATTTTGTTGAGAACTAGAAACAGAAATGTTAAATTACTTAAGCAGAGTTATATGGCTAATACTTAGAGAATCAAGAATTGGCCCAAGAAGTCTCTGAGCACACATTTGTTAGTGAAAATGAGATGATTTTCAGCCTTGTTATGATTATCTAATTAAAAGTGGAAAATCGGGTATTATAAATACATATCAAAAGAGGTTTATAATTCTCAATTAATACTTTTTCAGTAACTTATCACTGGTTTTAGATTGAAATCCATTATCCTTAACCTGGCTTAACAGGTCTTCCTTCCTTGTCCTGGTTCCCTTCATATATCTGTCACCCTCAACTCTGTTTGCTGTTGCCAACCTGGGCTTCCTGCAGTCCCTAGAGTGCTTGCTGAAGCTTTTGCCACTGAACCTGCTCTTTATCCTGCCAGGAACACACTCCCTTTATGTCCTTCAACTGGCTAACTTGCATTTATTTGTTTCTAGATCCCAGCTTAAACCTCACTTCTTTAGGGTAATTTTCCTACATCCCATAGCATCCACTCTTTCCTTTTCTTTACAAAACTTAATGTTTACTATTTAACATTCCTGCCATGTAGAATCTCAATGAGGATAGGGACCATGTCAGCTTTTCTTTTTTAGGGGGAATGAGGGAGGTTATTATGTCCCCAGAGTGTAGAACACAGTGCCTGACCCTCATAGGCATTTCAGTAAATATTTGTTGTATGAATCAATCTAAATTTTAAAGGTGATTACAACTGTTAACGTCTATAATTGTGCGGAAATTCAATAATGAACTTATTGAAAACACTGAAAAAATTACATGGAAAAATAAGACTTGTTTTTAAATGTAATTAATATACTTCCATATTTATTTTTCTTTGATCTAGTAAGTTAAACAAGAAATAAATCTTGTTATGGTAACACTGTTTTATTGACACTTAAAGTTAATTATGTGGAGCAACTAGAACTAACAGCTTGTATATTAACCTTCACAGGTGGAATTTTTGTGACTCACTTTTACAGAGACAGTTTGATGAAGAATATTCCTATCCTGAACTAGTAAAAGTGGTTTGGTATAAAGGTGTTACATATAGGTAAGGCATGTATGTTGGACTGGAAGCTGTTTAGTAATGTCACAAGGAGCTGAGACAAGCCTTGCAGACTTTCACAAGTGGACACAGTTTTGCTGAGCCAGCTGTGTGCTGTGTTTTGTCCTGAGTTTTACAGGTCTGTTTGTAAGACTTTCATGTCAGCTCCAAAGCCACTAAGGGATCAGTTTTGCTAGTGAAAATAATGTTTATATCAGTCATTTAGGATACCCCTTCAAAGCTTCAGAAGATCTAGTCTGAATTAAAGTTAGGTAGCTTAAGGGAGATTTCAGGTTTCATTCTTATAGCAAATATTTATTGAGTGGCCCCCTCCATGTTAGCACTTCCATAGAATCATTCCTACCCCACAACAGAAGATAACTCTCTAGTAACTGGAATGTTAGTGCTGGCCAGATTGAGAGTTTCGCCTTCAGGAATAGTACTGGAACAATACTTTTGTCTGAGGTAGGCCTGGGCTAACCCCTCCCAAGTGGCTTCTTAACTGCTAGACTAAATGCTTGCCCTTGTTTTAAGTTTTTCTATGCTGTATATATATATATATGAACAATGTCTTCATTGTACATGGCTGTTCATGTACCATTAATCACCTTCTCTTAAGAATGGCTCCTTGGGGCCGGTGCTGGAGCATAATGAGCTAAGCCAGTGCCTGCAGTGCCAGCATCCCATATGGGTGCTGGTTTGACTCCCGGCTGCTACACTTCCATTCCAGCTCCCTGCTAATAAGCCTGGGAAAACAGCAGAAGATGGTCCAAGTGCTTGGGCCCCCACGCTGATGTGGGAGACCCAGAAGAAGCTCCTGGCTCCTGGCTTCAGCCTGGCCCAGCCCAGCCATTGTGGCCATTTGGGGAGTGAACTAGCAGATGGAAGATATTTCTCTGTCTCTCTCTCTTTATCTAACTTTGCCTTTCAAATAAGCAAAATAAAACTTAAAAAGAAAAAAAAAAAATAAAAAAGAATGGCATCCTTGAGGGGATGGTGTTGTGGTGTAGCATGTTAACCTTCTACCTGCAACACTGTCATCCCATAACAGAGTGCTGGTTTGAGTCCTGGTTTCTCTGCTTCCAGTCCAGCTTCCTTCTAATGTGTCTGGGAAAGCAGCAGAAGATGGCTCAAGTATTTGAGCCCCTGCTACCCTTATAGGAGACCAGATGAAGTTCCAGGCTCCTGGCTTCAACTTTGCCCAATCCTGGCCATTGCAGCTATTTGGGGAGTGAACCAGAGGATGAAAGATTCTCTCTCCCTCTCTCTCTCTCTGTCTCTGCATCACTTTGCCTTTCAAATACGTATATAAATCTCTTTAAAAAAGAATGGCTCTTTGTACAAATGGTTAATCTCACCCATCATGTATTGGATACTAGTCTCATTTTTGCAAAATATTATGTTCAGGTTCTAGAAGCATTGTATTTAACACATATGCAATGGACATTGCTTTGGTGACTTACGTGCCAGCCTCTTGTTTGGAGTGAGGCTACCAGGATAGTAGGATGCCTGAATTCCAGAAGCTCTGAACTTAATTTTTAAATAAGTTCATAATTCAATTCTGCATGTTCTGTTCATCTATTGCAAAAAAAGTTAATTTGGCTTCTTTGGTTAGACAAAAAGACTATATATGAGGCTTTTTTGATGACCGTCTTCATGCGTTATTTGATCTCAGGAGAAAAAATTGTTTTAATGATGATTTTTCTTCCTTAGACTTACCCATAAAAATGTGAATTCAATAGAGATTTATCCTGGAGATGGCTCTATTTTCAAATCAGAAGGAACTTATTTTGGAAGCTATTTTACATATTATTCCAGTCACGAAGGATCAGAAGAGGTAGGCCAACAATGAGATCTCAAGAAGAGTTTTGTTATGTTTCCAAATATATACAGGAATGTGGTCTTTAAAAAACAGCTTCCTAATTCTTAATCCAGAAAACTAATACAATCCTACTGCCAGCATTGGCACCCAGTTAATTATTAACCACTTTATTTTTAGGTGTCTTCTCATTTGCTTGACCATCATCAAGATTATTCTGTAACTGAAAATAGTGAAATATAACATGATACATTTGTTAGACTGTAAAATAATAGTGTAGGTATTTCATTAGTGAGTTTTCATTTGCTTATTCCTAGTCCAACATTGGACATCCACACATTTATTGTGATCGCTATATTATCACACTGCTTTGCTTTGCAGGCCAGGATGGAATAAATGTATTCTCCCCCATACAGAGTGGGGTATCTAAGTAGTGACCTTTCAGAGTTACTAAGAAGAGTTAACAGTGCAGTAGATTGGGGAAGGGGTTTGTGTGTGGTCGTGTTACATTATTTCTTTTTAAAAATGTATTTGAGAAGCAGAGACAGAATGAGAGAGCTCCTATCCTCTGATATGTATTAATGTCATTAATCCTTAGGACAATCCAGATGGTAGGCAGTGTCCCCATTTCGTGGGTTATAAGCACTGAAGCTTAAGAAAAGTTATATAACCCTCCTGTCTCCTAGTTAGTAAGAGATGTACATGTGATTTGAATACAGATCTGCTGTATTCAAAGCTCATCTTTCCCCAGTAGGTAGGAGCTGTACTACTGTGTGGAAAATAATCTGCTCCATAAATGTTATATTTAATTTGTCCCTGTTGGGATTACCTAAAAATAATCAGTAAGGGAGAAGAGAAGGCTGGAGATTAGGAAACACTAGCAAGTTTGAGAAAGAGGAAAATCAGAAGGCATGACAATAAATTTTATTTTTAAATTTCAAGAACCTGGGCTATAAATATCTTCTACAAACTGCAGTGATAGTTCTTTATTAATAGAATATAACAAGATAATGTGGCCACTTAATTTAAATAATGTTTAAAGCCTGTAACAGTAGTGGCTGGTACTGTGGCACAGCAGGTTAAGCCGCAGCCTGTGATACCATTTCCTGTATGGGCATAGGTTCAAGTCCTGGCTGCTCCACTTCCAATCCAACTCCCTGCTAATGGCCTGGGAAAGCAGCAGAAGATGGCCCAAGTGCTTAGGCCTCTGCACTCACGTGAGAGACCTAGAAGAAGCTCTTCTTCTGTCTTTGAAACTCTTGTCTTTCAAATGAGTAAATAAATCTTTAAAAAAACAAAGAAGTATTTCTGGTGTCTTAGGGGGAAAAAAGAGAAACAGTGGCTATGTGAGCAGTTTCTTGCCAATGTGTAGGAAAATTAGTTTAGTTCCCATGTTAATTTAGTTATAGCCAAGATTGAGATTGGACAGTAAGTTACAGGCTATTAGAGTATAACTTTTGAATGCATAAGAGGAATTTTATACTTTAAAAAATGGGAAAATGGGAAAGAATCATACCTTTAAAAATATATAGGTTTTATGGACTTGAGATTGTTTAAAAAAAAACTCCTTATGTAAATAAATATTTCAAGAAAATAACTAAGGAATGAGGACCAACACTTACTATTAGTGAGATTTTTCATTTTAAAATAATTTTCAGAGAGAAGAGAAAACTTATTCAGTAAATAATCTTCCTCCAGATCGACCAGGAAGTCTGTTCTCTGTGTCTTCTCTAATTAACCAGGCCACCAGGTAATTTCACTTTCAATTAAATTAAATATTAGATGTCTGAAAGCCTGACTATATTTTCTTGTGGTTAAGAATTAAGATACCTGGGGCTGGCGCCGTGGCTCACTTGGTTAATCCTCCATCCCATATGGGCGCCGGTTCAAGTCCTGGCTGCTCCACTTCTGATCCAGCTCTCTGCTATGGCCTGGGAAAGCAGTAGAAGATGGCCCAACTGCTTGGGCCCCTTCACCCGCATGGGAGACCCAGAGGAAGCTTGTGGCTCTTGGCTTCAGATTGGCTTAGCTCTGGCCATTGCAGCCATTTAGGGAGCTAACCAGCAGATGGAAGACTTCTGTCTGTCTGTCTTTCTCTCTCTCTGTCTGCCTCTCTCTAACTCTGCCTTTCAAACAAATAAATAAATCTTTTAAAAAACGAATAGAAAAATACCCATGTTTGAATGCTGAGAGAAAATGAAAGCCTTTTCTCTGGGTAAATTTGACATTGTTTCTTGGAATGAAATTGGGAATTTGATGACATAGTTGAAATTTTCAGACTACTTGATTATACTCAGAATAATAAAGATTTCTGAGAATGTAATAAAGATGAAGTCTGTTTTGGTTCTTATATGTTTTTCAAATTTCCTTAATTGTGACACCCAGAAGGGTGAAAGTGGATCACTGAACTAAATTGTATATTTTTATAAGTTCATATATAAACAAATTTCAAAGCAAATTTGAAGGAGAATTTGTAGCTTGATTTCATGGACATAGTTGATTCACATACTACTAATTTTCAGGCCTGTGAATCTTTCATCTCTTAAAAAAGGAGCTGGACCTTAGCTAGGAAACAAGCTGAAAGCCTAGCAACAGTAGTTCCCTTCTAGGGGGCTTAAGGATTTCTGCAAGAAGAGTTCCCAGTACATTTCAGTGGACGTGAGGAACTTAAGAACCATCCCAAATGTTGTACTGACATTGAGAGTGGGTACTAGAATTGGAAAATATCACTTCCAAATGTTTAAGTGAAGTGTTTTTCATGCTCACAGAATTCTCCAACATTGCGCCAAGATGAGGCTTTCTTTAAGCCATAACTATCACATATGCTGCTGGAAAATGGTAAGTTTTAAAAATGATCTCAAAGCAAGATAGTGCTGCTTTATTTGTATCCATACTTCCCAGTCAAGACTGCCTGCACTACCTCCTGTGAGGAATTATCTGTAACATCAATATTGGTTAATTCAGAAAAATACCCACCTAGTAGAAAATACTGAAAGACAAGCTTTGACATTTACACTTCTGTTGTATATAGAGTTTTTGTTTTTGGTGGAAGGACAGAGAATTCACTGGGTTTTATGTAAAATAGTCATTATAAACCATTAAGCTATAATATTCCATGTTTTTGTAATTAAAACAATTCTTGAATGATAATTTGGCGGAAGTGATTCTGTGATTTCTGATATCTGTACTGATTTAATTGAAAACCTCCATTACTCTTGTTTAATTTCTGTCTAGGTAAAGTTCAGAGCATTGACTTTACTATGATTTTAGAATTTCATGCGCTTGTGAATAGATTTTTTAAGGTATCTAAGTCTAGAAAAATGAAAACATGTATAAGGATTCTAGAATATTCAACTTCTGAATAAGACTCTAAAGTTGCCAGAGCGTTAATTAACATTCATTTAAATCTTGTCAATGGATAACTCTCACATATCCTGTTTTTACTTTTTAAATTTTTTTAAAATTTTGGATTAATATATAACTTTTGTACATCTGTTTTTATTTACTTGGGCTTAGGTACCTGGGATAAATGATAATAATACGCTGCCTTTGCTTTTGAAAGAATCGCTCATACCTAACACAGGAAGATTTCTTGCCTACTCTGATGACAAAGTACATGCTATTTTTTTAGATGGCGTTACTCTAACCCTAAGCTGGAATTTTAGCTCTTCTATTGAAAATAGACAGGTGGGTATACTTCAAACTGTAATTTATGTTTACTAGTTACTTATCAGTGGAAAGAAGAATAAAGAAAATACCTTGCCATCTCTGTTTATTTTATGAAGTATAAAATCTGTAAAGATGCTTTACTGATCACATGGATTTCCCAGCAAAAATCAGAATGGTGTGACAAATAGTTATTTTTATGAAGATAGCTCATTATAGTGAGAGGGATTAATATTTTTATTCTCATTGATATTTATCCATAAGAGGGGTGGTTAAATACCCATAGCAATATAAAATATTGCATTTTAATTGTGAAAATTGTTAATGACTCATCTATATTTTTTTTTTAACTTGTAATACAGTCAGAAGAGGTTGTTCATGGTTTTGTTTTCAGTTTTACAAGGATAAAACTTATCTTTCCTCTTTGCCTCTTAAGGTAAATCAAGGTCTCAGTTTAGGTTGGTGTAAGTTAACTTTTCCTGATGGGCAGTGTCAGTTAATTCAAACTGAATACCCCGGACCATATGAAAGGTACTGAAAAACAATTTTAAAAATTATTTTCATGTTTTACTTTTATTTGACACTTTTAGTTTTTCCATGTGGCTAAAGTAAATGAAGTCATTTCAGCGCGTTTCAAAATTTGTATTTTCATTGGCATTTAGCATAACTAAGTAGATCAGGTCAGCCTTGGTCATTTCCTTTTGTATTCAAGTGATTTTTCAGAATGAAATATGTTTTAGACATAACTGGCTTGCTGGGGGAGATTTCACTCTGGTCAGCTGTGTTAACCAATTAACTAATCCTCTAACCAATCTGAAATAAGTTTTGCTACCACAAATAACTAAAATTGTGAATATTTCTGTAAACTGGAAAAATTGAATTAAATTAGCTGATGATAATTCTTAAAATGGGGAAGAATTTTGACATCTACTTTTTATGAATATGTTTTTTCACTTCTGGTTTATATAATTTGTAAGACTAATTCAACTTGTGGTAATCTTGACATTTTAATGATTTCACTTGAGAATGTCCACATAAGATGGCTTTTTTTTTCATCCTGCCTGAATTGATTTTTCTGTTGGACTTTATTGCTTTTGGGCCCAAACACACTTTCATTGCTATTGAGTAATTTATCTAAAAAAGATGGTGTCTTCAGCAAACATTACTGTTTGTTTCAGCCAGTCACTGCAGATCATTCATTTCATTAAACCTGAATATTTCTTTTGTATATTCAGTGGGATATATGTAATATGTGTGGATATATACAGGGGTACTTCAAAAGGTTCATGGGAAATGGAATAAAAAGATAAAAGTAAAAAATATAAACTTTATTTCTCAACATAAGATCCATCAAGTTCAAGACATTTTCTTATTGATATCAGCTGGTTAGTCCATCCATAAAGAGCTAAAGTCCTGGAATTTAACTGTGTCAGTGCATCTCTTTGCATAATTAACTGAAGAAAAATGAGTATCCTTTAAAGACTTTTTAATATTAGGAGGGGAAAAATTCAGAAGAGACCAATCAGGACTGTAAAGTGAATGCTTAATGATTTCCTGTTGAAACTGACAAAATTGCTCTTGTTTAATGAAAGGAAACAGCAGGAGCATTGTCATGGTAGAAAAGAAGCTGTTTAGTGAAGGTTTTCCAGACATTTTTCTGCTAAACCTTTGGATAACTTTCTCAAAATACAGTCATATTAAGCAGGTGCCATCTCTTCTGAAAGTCAACAAGCAAAATGCCTTGAGCATCCCAAAAAGCAGTGGCCATGACCTTTGCTCTTGACTTTTGCTTTTGACTGTACCACTTCCATCTCTTGGTAGCCATTGCCTTGATTTTTTTTGTTTTGTTTTTGACGGGCAGAGTGGACAGTGAGAGAAAGGTCTTCCTTTGCTGTTGGTTCACCCTCCAATGGCCGCCGCAGCCGGCGCACTGCGGCTGGCGCACCGCGCTGATCTGATAGCAGGAGCCAGGTACTTATCCTGGTCTCCCATGGGGTGCAGGGTCCAAGTACTTGGGCCATCCTCCACTGCACTCCCTGGCCACAGCAGAGAGCTGGCCTGGAAGAGGGGCAACCGGGACAGAATCCGGTGCCCTGACCGGGACTAGAACCCAGCGCCGCAAGGCAGAAGATTAGCCTAGTGAGCCAGGACGCCAGCCTTGATTGTGTTTTGTTTCCAGACTTGTACTGGGAAAGCTATGTTTCATCTCCTGTTCCAACTCTTTGAAGAAATGCTTTAGGAACTTAATTCCACTTGTTAAAATTTTCCTTTGAAAGCTCTGCTTTTGTCTGCAGCTGATCTGAGTACAATAGTTTTGGAACCCAGAAACCAGAAAGTTCACTCAATTTTAATTTTTCAGCAATAATTTCATAAGGCAAAAAATTTGAGATGTCTGTGGTATTGGCTATTATTTTCACTGTTAATTATCATTGATCTTCAATTAGGGTACAAACAATTTTTTCTTGTAAATTGATATCCATCATCTGCCACTGTAGTTTTCACTTCAACATTGTCTTATCCCCTTCTTAAAACAAGTTACACATCTGTAAACTGCTGATTGCTTTGAGGGATTATCTTCATAAGCTTTTCATTAAGTATCAGTGGTTTCTTCATTCTTCCACCTAAACTTTACCTAAAATGTGATGTTTATTCTTGCTTCAGTTTTAGCAGAATTCATGTTGCTGATACAGCTTTTTTCAAACTGATGTCTCATGCTTCTTAGTACCCCAAATTAGATTCTGTTCAGACACAAATACAAGTTTCTTTTGGCATACAAAAATTTGAAAGCCATGCACATATTTCCATGAACTTTTTGAAGGCCCCTTGTATATGTGTATGTATGCATTAACATGTTTCCTCATTTAAATTTCAGTAAGCGAGAATCTTCCCTAGTCTTACAGGTAAAGACAGTTAGTTTCATGATAAAACTTAATGAAACCTATTTTACTTTAAAAGGAAAATTTAACATTTTAATTAGAACTTTAAATCCAAATATTAGATGTGATTCCTAAATATTATCTTTAATAATCACAAATATAATCACTCTGGATAAATTATGGAGAAAACTTGCCTTTCCTATGAGCAGTGAAAAAGGTTGTTAAAATTGCCCAGCAGATGTCTCACTCAAGTTACCTTAATGGTTTTCCTATTTTTTATGTTATTTTATATTAAATACAAGCTCAATTATTTCTTTAATGGGTTCACTGTAGATATGTGACAACAGTAACATCATGGTGTAGAAGACTGACTCAGACAAGTCCAAGAGAATTGCCCACACGTACTTCATCTTCTGATCTTGAAGAAAACTGGTATTTTTATTTCTTTTTAACTTAATTTGTGTAGGAAAGCCAGCTAATACCTAATCAGTCATCTAATCATACTTCCTCACACTGTGTCTCATCTAAAAGTCAGAAACTGCATTGAAAACTTCACATCAAAATGAGTAGCCTTTTTACATGATAAATGCTTCCTGAAAACTTTACAGGATAAATTAAAATAAATTATTAAAATTTTAGTAATATTGAAGGAAGTAAGATGTTGACTTTTGAGCAAATGCTCTCTGTTACGATATTCAGGTTCCTAAATGAAAAAAAAAAGATAAGAAGAAAGGTTGTTAGAAAGAGTAATGTCACTGAATGTGTAACTTGAATATATTGGAAAAGGGTATCATGAACAATTTGAAATTAAGTTGTGAGGTGACCTAGCATAGTGTAATAAACTTTATACATTTATATATAAAAACATTAAGCCTGATTTTTATCACATTTTCCTGGTTTATTTATTAAGTCAGTAGGTGCTGTTTGAATATCTCGGGTATCTGAGGATCCAGCTTTCTAGATCCCTTATCCTTCTGCTATAACTTGTTTGGGAATAGAAACTTTACTTAAGTAGCTAGCAAAAATACAGTTGAGTTGTGGGGGTAAACATTTGACATAGGAGATGTCATATGTATCTGAGTGCAGTTCCTGGATCCAGCTTCCAATTTCAGTTTCCTAACAGTGCAGGACTTCCAGAGGTAGCAGGCGATGGCTTGAGTTGTTGGATTGCTGCCACCCACATGTGAAAGACCTGAAATTCCTGGATCCTGGCTGTCACTACTGATCCAGCCCCAGCCATTTCAGGGATTTGAGGAGTGAACCAGTAGATCGGGACTCTGTCCCTCTCTAATTAAAAAAAAAAGTCTGGCTGGAGAGAACAGGAAATCGTACAAAGCTATAAAAACTGTTTATTTCAGCATTGCTCAACCAACATAGTAAAATATCAGCCCTTTTATATGAAAACTGAAAAAAAAAAAAAAAAACCTAAGGTCTAAACAGTGAAACAATGAACAGCAGAACGACAAAGTAATTGAAGAACAGCTCCCTTCCCTTTGCAGAGCCTAAGATGGCCCCACTGTGATTTTTTTCTTGTCAGAGGGTTGAAAGGACTGTACAATAAACAACTACCTAAATTGTATCTCAGTATTTTTTGTACCTCACCCACAATTATTAGCTTATTAACTCAATTTTTAAATAAATATTTTAGTCAAAAGTAGTAAAGTTATTTTATCAGAACTTGCTTCATCTTGTGACCAGTATCAGCATTAGACGTTGTACTCGTGTTATTGCTTACACCCAGAAAATTGTGTCTTGAGCAAAAGAATTTTCCAATGTTGAAAGATCAGCAGGCTTTAGAGTAAGTCATAGCCAAGTTCTCTACAACTGATTTTTTTTTTTTTTTTAAGATTTATATATTTATTTGAAAGGCAGTGAGGCAGAGACAAGAGAGAGAGAGAGGTCTTCCATCCCCTGGTTCACTCTCCAGATAGCTTCAATGGCTGGAGCTGAGCTGATCCGAAGCCAGGAGCCAGGAGGTTCTTCTGGGTCTCCAACATGAGTGCAGGGGCCCAAGCACTTGGGCCATCTTTTACTGCCTTCCCAGACCACAGCAGAGAGCTAGATCGGAAGTGGAGCAGCCGGGATTCGAACAGGCACCCATATGGGATGCTGGCACTGCAGGCAGCAGCTTTACTTGCCACACCACAGTGCCAGCCTCTACAACAGATTCTTAAAATGATTAAAGATCATTTTCATTCTCTGTCCACAGACTGCAGTATGAAGGAAAAAAGAAAGCAAGCTGTGGTCTGTTGTAGTAAAGCCAATAAAGCAAAGGCACGTACCCTCTTAGGAACCGTGAAGCAGTCTTTCTAGTGACTTGCATAAAGACTGATATCCTCATTAAATGTGCAGAGAGCTAGTCAGGTTACACTATTTGTAGTTTTATGCTACTGCTCATATTTCATTCTACCCTGAGAGGTAAAAACATAACACACATGTAAGTGGTTCTGCTCAGGCTGTGTATATTCAGCCCTCTACCCCCTACTGGTTGCCCATGAGCACACTGTAAGAACTAGAGTTCATCATGCTAGTGCTCTGTGCTTAAGAAATCAGTGAATAGTCTATTCTAGAATGAATTTAATAAAAATTTATTATGCATTGACACCTAATTAAACTATATAAAAACTCAGACCTTCCAAACCATCATTCTGTAAGAGTTCCATATAAATGGTACTGTATAATATGTGCAAAGTACAGGAGAAAACATCTTTTTTTAAAAAAGATTTATTTAAAAGGCAGAGATACAGAAAGAGAGAAGGAGAGACAGAGATTTTTCCATCCCTAGGTTCATTCCCCAAATACCACAACAGCAGTGTGGGCCAGGCTGAAGCCAGAAGCCTAGAATTCCATCCTGGTTTGTGGGTTGCAGAGGCCCAAGTACTTGGACTTTCTAAGAAGTCATAGGAGGGGCCCATATTGTGGTGTAGTGGGTAAAGCCGCCAACTGCAGTGCCAGCATCCCAGTGGGCTCCAGTTCGAGTCCTGGCTGTCCCACTTCTTTTTTTTTTTTTTTTTTTTTTTCTCCACAGGCAGAGGTAGACAGAGAGAGAGAGACAGAGAGAAAGGTCTTCCTTTTCCGTTGGTTCACCCCGCAATGGCCACTGCAGCCGGTGCACCGCACTGATCTGAAGCCAGGAGCCAGGTGCCTTTCCTGGTCTCCCATGTGGGTACAGGGCCCAAGGACCTGGGCCATCCTCCACTGCCTTCCCGGGCCACAGCAGAGAGCTGGACTGGAAGAGGAGCGACCGGGACAGAATCTGGCGCCCTGACCGGGACTAGAACCTGGTGTGCCGGCGCCGCAGGCAAGAGGATTAGCCTAGTGAGCCCCGGCCCCGGCCTGTCCCACTTCTGATCCAGCTCTCTGCTATGGCCTGGGATAGCAGCAGAAGATGGCCGAAGTCCTTGGGCCCCTGCACTTGTGTGGGAGACCTGGAAGAAGCTCCTGGCTCCTGACTTCTGATCGGCGCAGCTCCAGCTGTTGCAGTCAATTGGGGAGTGAACCAGCAGATGGAAGACCTCTCTCAATCTCTGCCTCTCCTTCTCTCTGTGTAACTTTGACTTTCAAATAAATAAATAAATCTTAAAAAAAAAAAAAATGAAGTCACAGGAAGGCCCCAATGCCTTTAAACATCAACACTTGATTAGAGTTCTTGAAGCAGGGACTTTTATTCACTTGTCTTCGAAAGCACTCCGTATCAGTTGAGTGAACTTGTTGCAGATATAAAAGAGAATTCTTTTAGATTCTTCTCTTTAAAATGCTAACCTTTATGAAAAAAAATGAAGTATGCTTATTTGAAATTTCATGAATATAAAGGAAACACACCACCAACAGGAAGTTAATTTTTTTTTTCTTGTACAGGTCTGTTGCTTCTGAACTTGAAAAGATACGGAAGTTTAACTGTATCCTTTGAACAGAAGGTATTGGCCTGCATACGCTCTTCCATTCTAGGCTTAATTCATATCTGTACTTTTATTAATCCATACTTACATTCTGCTTAAGAGTCAGCAGATACTTGATTGTGATTTACAATGTTTCTTTTCTATAGAAAGGTACATATGTTAATATTTATACCTTTTCTTGGGTTTAAATTAGGTAAAGAATAGTAAAATAGGATTAAAGACTCCTTTGGAGAATTTTTGCTTATATATTCACATAATTCTAACTGTTTAATACTTATTTCTGAATTCTGATAAAACTTTTTGTTCTGTACATTCTCACTCCACCTAAATTTGTGTTTTCTTGTTATTTTTCTGTAATCTTACTTAAATAAAATGTCATTCTAAAACAGAAGCCAGGATTTTAGATTTTTTAATTTAAAAAGCAAAGATATTAAACAAATCGTTTATAATCCTGTTGTTGCTACTCATTTTTTTTTGGAGGGGGAATAGGCAGAGTTAGACAGTGAGAGAGAGAGAAAGAAAGGTCTTCCTTCCGTTGGTTCATCCCCCAAAATGGCCGCTACAGCCGGCGTGCTGCTGCGCCGATCTGGAGCCAGGAGCCAGGTGCTTCCTCCTGGTCTCCCATGCAGGTGCAGGGCCCAAGCACTTGGGCCATCCTCCACTGCCTTCCCGGACCACAGCAGAGAGTTGTCCTGGAAGAGGGGCAACCGGGACAGAATCCAGCACCCCGACCGGGACTAGAACTTGGTGTGCCAGCACCGCAGGCGGAGGATTAGCTTAGTGAGCCATGGCACCAGCCACTACTCATTTTTTTTTTTTAAAGATGTCTTTAAAGAGTTAGAGAGGGAGAGGGGGAGAGAGATATTCCATTCACTGGTTTACTTCCCAGATAGCCGCAATGGCCAAGGATGGGCCAGGCGGAAAGAGCCAGGAGCTTCATCCAGGTTTCCCATGTGGATGGCAGGGGCCAAAAACTTGGGCCATCCTCCACTGCTTTTCCCAGTGCATTAGCAGGGAGCCAGATCGAAAATGGAGCATCTGGGACTCAAACAGGCACCCATATGGGATGCCCAATGCTGGCCCCTCTACTCATGTTTTTTAATCCCATATTACTTCTCTCTTTTTTTAAAGATTTATTTATTTATTTGAAAGTCAGAGTTACACAGAGAGAGGAAAGGCAGAGAGAGGTCTTCCACCCGAAGGTTCACTCCCCAATTGGCTGCAACAGCTGGAGTTGCGCTGATCTGAAGCCAGGAGCCAGGAGCTTCTGGGTCTCCCACGCGGGTGCAGGGGCCCAAGGACTTGGGCCATCTTCTACTGCTTTCCCATAGTAGAGAGCTGAATTGGAAGTGGAGCAGCCGGGTCTCAAACCAGTGCCAAATGGAATGCTGACGCTTCAAGTCATGGCGTTAACCCACTGCACCACAGCGTCAGCCCCTTAACCCCATATAACTTCTACACTTAAAGTATTACTAAAATTTTAATTCTTTTATTTCTTCCCTACCACCAAACCTCTATAATATCTCTCCTTCTCCAACTCCCTGCCTCCACTTTCTATCCTCTACTCCCTACCACTTCTTTATATGGTAACTAGTTTCCTCATCTATAATAGGTAGTCTTAGGCCGGCGCTGTGGCTCAGTAGGCTATTCCTTTGCCTGCGGCACCAGTACCCAGGGTTCTAGTCCCAGTTGGGGCACCGGATTCTGTCCCAGTTGCTCCTCTTCCAGTCCAGCTCTCTGCTGGGGCCCGGGAAGGCAGTGGAGGATGGCCCAAGTGCTTGGGCCCTGCACCTGCATGGGAGACCAGGAGGAAGCACCTGGCTCCTGGCTCCGGATCGGCACAGCATGCAGGCCATAGCAGCCATTTAGGGGTGAACCAACAGAAGGAAGACCTTTCTCTCTGTCTCTCTCACTAACTCTGCCTGTCAAAAAAAAAAAAAAAAAAAAAGAAAAAAAAAAGGTGGTCTTGATAATTCTAAAGTCTCGACTGTAATGCGGATCCAAGAAATCTGCCTTGCAATGGAGGTAATATTTTACCGTGAAAGCCAGGGATTCTGAAAACAAGAGTATTTACATAGTGAAACACGGGAAAAAGCTCCTTAGCTAAGTGACTCAGTGCTACTGGAGAACAGCAGTATCCTGAACCAGAAAAGCGAACAGTCTGCTGATCATTACACACTAGCTTCTTCAGAAACCTTTCCAGAAGAGCCTCATGAAAATCGAGTATCAGTCGCATTGAAAAAAACCTCTGAAATCCTTCAGGATATTGACTGCCTTCTATCAAACTCTAAAAAATGAAAAATGGAATTATTACAATATATTCTTTTTAAGGAAGTTGTTTCAAGAACCGGCTTTGAAATTACTAGTAAGCCAAGAAATTGTAAACATTTATTCTGCACAATGATTGTATGAGAACTGATATTTAACTTTGGAGGTATTTTACATGATTTATAAATTTTTAAAATACACATTTATATTAATAAAAGCTTTGGAAATTTTGGACTGCTTTAATTCTTCAATTTTATCAAAATGTCTTGTAAAGTTTTTTTTTAAGAATTATTTATTTATTTGAAAGTCAGAGTTATAGAGAAGAGGGAGAGCCAAGAGTGATCTTCCATCTGCTGTTTCACTCCCCAGATGGCCGCAATGGCTGGGGCATGGTGGTGGGGGTGGGGGCTGGGTAGGGAGTGGAGGGTGTTGGGGGTTGGGGTGTGCCCAAGCAGTGGCCATCTTCTGCTGCTTTTTCCAAGCCATTAGTGGGGAGCTGAATCATAAGTGGAACAGCCAGGACACGAACCAGCGTCCATACAGGCAGCGGGTTTACTCACTACACCACAATGCTGGTCCCTCTTGTAAAATTTTAAAGCTGTTGTTTTTATCTGTGGAGCAATCAATATAAATCTTCAAGTTTTTTTTTTAATATTTAGAATAGTGTATTTGCTCATTTGCTATTTAGTTTATCCAAATATTTTCCAATAGAACTGTGAAAGACAACTAGATCTCAGTGGGGAAAAAACTGACATAGGCAATAATACAAACTAAGAAGCACTTTAGCAAATATAACTGTCTCATGAACCAGATTCTCTCATTGTTTTTGAATATGAAAACTAAGTTAAGCTGAAAAATCTTGGGAGAAATTAGCTCACCAAAAGTGCTATTGTAAGTTTGTTAGGAACAAAACCATACACCCAAAAAGACTTCAGGATTATACCAAATACAATTAGAAATGTTCTAACTTCTGATTTCTTTACAAGACCAAACTCTCCTCATGAAAAGGAAGAAGCAACTGAGGAAACCGGGAAGAAGCGGAAGTGTGATAGGTCAGGAGTGATCATGTCACTGAGTTGAATGGGCCTGATGCCCACTTCCGTTCCTCTCACAATGGGCTGCTTCACATTTCAAATCCCAACAGTATTTCCTCCCTACTACTTGACCAAAGTTAGCTTCTCCCAACTCTCATGACATCATCCTATTTATTTCCTTTACAGTACTTACTAGTCTGTCCAGCTATGTCTTATGGCTAGAACACGTGCTCCATAAATCACTCTGTAGCCTACCGCCTGAAACCACCGGATATGTATTGCTTAACGGAATCGCTGCCTTCAGGCAGTAGACTCGGCTACAGAGAAAAGAACACATCTGTTGTAGTTTAAAGGAGGCCATCTATGTTGGCCCTCCAGAAGGCATAGACTGAGTCATGTACTAAAAAGTTACTGCATTCAGACTGAGAAAATTTGTCTTTAACATGAATGAAAGCACTCAAGAGTTGTATTCAAAAACAAAGGCCGGCGCCGTGGCTAATTAGGCTAATCCTCCGCCTTGCGGCGCCAGCACACGGGGTTCTAGTCCCGGTCGGGGCGCCGGATTCTGTCCCGGTTGCCCCTCTTCCAGGCCAGCTCTCTGCTGTGGCCCGGGAGTGCAGTGGAGGATGGCCCAAGTGCTTGGGCCCTGCACCCCATGGGAGACCAGGAGAAGCACCTGGCTCCTGCCTTCGGATCAGCGCGGTGCGCCAGCCACGTGGCGGCCATTGGAGGGTGAACCAACGGCAAAGGAAAACCTTTCTCTCTCTCTCTCTCTCTCACTGTCCACTCTGTCCAAAAAAAAAAAAAAAAGAGTTGTATTCAGTGACGGGCGTGGCACAGTGGGTTACAACACCCACATCCCACTTGGAGTGCCAGTTCGAGTCCTAGCTCCTCTGCTTTCCATCCAGCTTCCTGCCAGTGGGCAGAAAATGGCCCAGCCTTGGCAGAAAAACAAGTTACAAGAAAACAAGTTGAAGCGGTCACACACACCCCTTCCCAGGAAAGGCCCTTCTTTGGGAAGGCCCCTATCATAGGAAGGGGTTAAGAATGTTCCTCTGTGGGCTCTTAGGCCAGTGTATCCTAGAGCCAACCGCCAAACTAGAGGTCTCTCTGATGCTGTTAGCACCCACCACACCGAGGCAGGGAGATGGAATGGGACCCCGCCACCGTGCGATGACACAAGCTATCCGTGAGTCCAGTGAACTAGGATCAAACTACTCTGTCTGTAGACGCTTTTTCATCATGATAAAGTGTCACAGGCCTGTCACCGCTATCCCAACTTCCGCTCGCGCCGAGACAAAGCATTACCAAGAAATCCGCCAGGGGGCAGTGGAGCGCTACTGAGGAGCTTCCGGTCTGACAGGTCAGAGGGTCCCCCACCCCGCCTGTGCCCTGAAGGATCCGATGAATGAAGCTGAAAATAGCTCTACAGCTTCGAACCCCATGGCTCCTAGCTCCAGGGTCTGCAGTCTCGCCTGAGTCCCGCGTTCGGTGGCGCCATCCCCCCTTCCAGCTTCCCCGCCGCTCCTTGGGTGCCTCGTGGGGACGCGGGCGACTATGTCTGTGGCTCCGCGCTCGCTGAGCCAAGAAGCGTGTCCTCGGATTTGAGAAAAAGAAACCCAACGAGGCGCTTTTAGTTCTCACCCCGCCATCCCAAGGTTCCTCTGAATGCGGGAAGGAACTCGCTACCTACAAGTTCCACCGAAGCCTACTCAGGTATCGCTTTCTTTCTACGAGGACGGGGGGCACTATCCCGGCGTGCTCTCGCCGACGCTGCGCGCTGGAGCCGCTCTGGCCGGCGCCCTGCGTCTCTATGGTGCGGGCCCGGGGGGGGGGGCGGAGGAGAGGGGCGTGGCTGCTGCTGGCGGTGCGGCTCGCTCCAGTCGTAAGAACCGAGGGTGGGTACGGCTGCGTTCCGCCCGGGGGTGGGGCGGGCGGAGACTGGACGCGGCCCGTGTCCTCCGGGGGCAGGCCGGAGGCTGGGACCACGGGAGTCTGAAGTCTGGAAGGTCCGCGTTGCGGGTGGGGATGGTGTCCTCCGGGAACCGGAGCAAGTGGGATGTGCGTGGCCTGTGGGCCGGCAGCGGCCTCTTCGCCGGGGGCTGCGCGTCGCCTCGAAACCGCCTTCCAGGTCCCCTAGATTCCCAGCCCCCTCCTAGGCTCCGCGGTGCCGGCGTTTCCCTGGCCCGGGGCCGGGGTCCGGGGTCGGCCGCAGGACCCATTGCTGTCCTCGACAGGTGTAAGAACCCCGTCGCGCCCCGGATCTGTAGAGGTCTCAGTGCTGTGCTGCGTTACTTGGGCCCTTCCCTCAAGACAGGAGCGCTTTCTGCCCCGCTTTTTAAAAGCTGACACTTTAAAGCTATCGCATCGTCTCGGAAACATGTTGCGATTCAGGACTGTATATGTTTTATTCGTGAGGGTCATAGGAACTAAACATTTTGTGTGCGGAGAGCTGATGGCTGTGAAAAGTTTCAGGGAAGGTGAGCAAGATTGGCGTCTCCTTTCCCTGCCAGTTGGCTGCGTTACACTTGGCGTCTTGGTATTAAGAAATTAAACAGAGGAAGTTTCACCACAACTGCAGTTCGGCAAACAGGACTTACTTGTAAAGCAGCGTAAAGGCAGGTTGTGGACTTCGGACTGCTTTTACCGCAGACTTTTCTGTCACTAGTGAGATTTGTGGGGAGGGGGCAATGCTGAAGCAGAAAATGACGTCTGCCTTGGGAATCTGTTAACTCTTATTTGTTTTGGCAGAAACAAGGTCTAAGAGCTTATTACCAACTAATTCGTGATAGCGTGTAATTAGAGACTAGGTAATTATGTGTTTGTAGAGTTAAGGAACGGAGGGATTGCTTCTGTGTACACTCTGAAGGCCAAATAATTGAAGGCAGTTGCTTTAATGGGGACAGGGTTTGACACGCTTTGCCTAGTGCAGAAACTAGCTCCTGCATGTGATTGAGAAAAATGTATCATGTGGGTGACTAAGTCAGGAAACTGCAGAGTACTAGCTTCAGTTTGTAGGCTGAGGGGTGCTTATGTGCTTACCCTTTATATTAGTATAATGAATTATTAAACACCTAGCACATTTTAGATGTTACTCATGGCACATTTAAAAGAAAATTATAATCATTGGTCTTAAGGAACTTCAACAAGAGTGAGTATGTAAAATACACATACAACTGAGGAGTTTAGGAGACTGAGGAGTCCATTTTATTTGTAGGAGGAGGAACAAGAAATAGAAAAGGAAGAAAACAGTTTAAGAAGAAAGATGAGTACAAGAAATGAATACACTTCAGTGTCCTGGTCAGACAATAAATAGTAGAGGAAGTTTACTTGTTAAATTTCTTTCTCTCTCTTTTTTAGTTTATTTATTTGAAAGGCAGAGTTAGAGAGAAGAGGCAGAAAGAAATCTTCCATCTGCTGGATCATGCCTCAATGGCCACAGAGCTGGGCCAGGCCGGAGCTAGGAGCCTGGAGCTTCTCCTGGGTCTCCCGTGTGGGCGTAAGGGCCCAAGCATTTGGGCCATCTTCACTGCATTCCCAGGGATGCTGGCATTGCAGGCCGAGGCTTAACCTGCTGTGCCACAGTGCCGCCACTAGATTTCTCTCTCTTACATTCAATATCTTACTACATATCTACACCAATAATTGGAGTGGCATAGATGCCAGCAATCTGTATCCTTAGAATCACTGTTAAAATAGTGCTGTTCTAAGTATCTACTGCTTCATAACAAATTACGCCAAAACTAAGAGGCTTAAAAATAAGTAGCTGTTATTTCATTTTTTCCTGTGGGTCAGGGCTTTGGAAAAGGCTTAGCTGGTCAGGGTCTTATGAAGTTGCAGTCCAGATGTTGGCAAGGGCTGTGAGCATCTCAGCCTGACTGGGACTAGAGGCTCTGCTTCCAAGTCCATTCCTGTGAGCAAGCTGTGTATGCTTTCCATTTATAAAATGCATTTGTATTACCCTGTTATTGTATTGATTCCTGTTCACTTGGTATGATACAGTGATCTGTAAATAATAAGCTTTTCTTTTTTAAGTCATTTTAAATCTGGATCACCATTTAAATATTGAAGTAATCTTTGCTTTTTCACTTTGATCATGACACTTTTTTAGCTATACAACCCTTTTAGAATCTGAATTTAACATAAAATGTAAGGATAGTAACATTTAAATATATAATTATCGAGGCCGGCGCCACGGCTCACTAGGCTAATCCTCCGCCTAGCGGCGCCGGCACACCGGGTTCTAGTCCCGGTCAGGGTGCCGGATTCTGTCCCGGTTGCCCCTCTTCCGGGCCAGCTCTCTGCTGTGGCCCGGGAGTGCAGTGGAGGATGGCCCAAGTGCTTGGGCCCTGCACCCCATGGGAGACCAGGAGAAGCACCTGACTCCTGCCATCGGATCAGTGCGGTGCGCCAGCCGTGGCAGCCATTGGGGGGTGAACCAACAGAAGGAAGACCTTTCTCTCTCTCTCTCTCTCACTGTCCACTCTGCCTGTCAAAAAAAAAATAAAAAATAAAAAATAAATATATATATAATTATCAAAATTGTTTCACGAGTGAAAGAAGATATATCAGTGGGCTTGTAGTGACATGAAATTTGCAGTTAAGTGGATACTGACCTTTTATTTCTGCCTCCTCCTGGCATGAGATTGAAAATATTCATGAATTTTTAATTAAATGCATGTCTAAGCATAGTCTGAGTAGCGGCAGAACTTTCGTATTAGACCTCTGTAGTGTGTACTCAGCCTTGTGTTCTGACACTCACCCACCTGACTGGCCTGTCTCCTTAGGGATGACTTACAAGCCATGGCTTACTGAAGGAGGGGAATATTGCTGCTCCAGCTCTCTGGCTTGGCCATTAATTTAAGCTTTCCATGCCATAAGTCCCATCCAGCTAACTGGATAATGGCATTTTTCTTTATTTCAAGGAATATTTATAAGCTATTAAAATGCATGCACTAAACTTTTGAACATATTAATTTCTTCTCCATTCATCTGTCCAATATTTACTTTCTAAAGTAGAGACAGTAATTTGTAACTATAAATCCTTTGACTATAAATCTGAGGTATAGAAAGTATTCATGACCATCAGGAGAGGTATTTTTTTTCATTTCGGTCATATCTTTTGGTTAAAAACATACCTAATAGTCATCATTTTTACATGCTGGAAAAATCTGTAAAAAATAATCCAATCTCAGTGCTTTATAAAGTAATCTTAATTGCTGCAAATGACCAAGAATTTGAAGGTGGTTGTTAATCATTACCAAATAGTTGTTCTGTGCAAAGTATTCTTTACATAAAGAACCTTGTATATGTTTATTTTATGTAAAGATACAGAAATTTTTTCTGGTAACCACAATTTGAGGAGAATGAACTTCTATTATTTTAACCCATTCAATTTGTGTGTATTGCATCAGCCACAGGCAAACAATACACCTGTGTTCACCTGAGTTCACTTTGATTTTGTCTGTAAAATTAGAGTAATAATAGTAGTTGCTTCTCAGAATTGTTCAAACAGTTAAGGAGTTAAGGCCGTGTTGTGGTAGGTTACAACAGCTGTAATGCCACATGCCACACGGGCACCAGTTCTGCTCCACTTCCCAATCCAGCTCCCTGCTAATAGTTCAGGAAAAGCAGCAGGAAATGGCCTGCTGGAGCTCCTGGCTTCTTGCTTTGGCTTGGCCCAGCCCCAGCTGTTGTGGCCATTCAGGGAGTAAACCAGCAGATGGAAAAATTCTCCCTCTCTATTTCTCTCTCTAACTCTGCATTTCAAATAAATAAATAAATAATTAATTAAGAAATAGAATTTGTGGGGGAGGATAGCAGGTAAAACCACCGCCTGCCATGCCAGCATCCCATATGCAGTCCCAGCTGCTCTACTTCTGATCCAGCTCTCTGCCATGGCCTGGGAAAGCAGTAGTAGATGGCCTAAGTGCTTGGGCCCTGCACCCACGTGGGAGACCAGGAAGAAGCTCCTGGCTCCTGGCTTCAGATCAGTGCAGCTCCAGCCATTGCTGCCATCTGGGGAGTGAACCAGAGGATGGAAGACCTGTCTCTCTCTCTCTCTCTCTCTCTCTCTGCCTCTACCTCCCTGTAACTCTGCCCTCAAATAAATTTAAAGAAGAAAGAAAGAAACAGAATTCAGAAGTTGATCCATATAATACATGTAGAATAATGCCTTGTATGTTGAAAGTAGAATAAAACTGATAGAGATCTTCACATAGCTATTTATACCCAAATTGATATCTACATCTGCAGCAACAGCTGTATTTATACCTGCTTGATACAGTTGCACCAACACCTGTAATTACACTATCTATCAATATTGCCTAGAATTTTCAAGTAATATTTATTCTATAACTAAGGCTCATGATATAATTTTTAAAAACTAAAAAAGCACAAATTTTTCATACAGACTTTTTATGTCAACTAATACATAACAATGAAAATTATTTTTTATTTTTATGTTTTTTAAAAGATTTACAGAATTATAGAGAGGTAGAAATATCTTTCTTCTGCTGGTTCACTCCCCAAATGGCTGCAGTCACCAGGGCTGAGCCAGGTTAGAAGCCAGGATCTTCATCTGGGTCTCTCATATGGGTGGCAGGGGACCAAGTACTTGGGCCATCTTCTCCTGCCTTCCCAGGCACATTAGTAGGGAGCTGAATGGGAAGTGGAGCATCTGGGATTTGAACCAGTGCTCATATTAGATGGCTTAAGCCACTGCACCACAATGCTGGCCCCAACAAATTATTTTATATTGTACTATTAGTTTGACCAAGCAGATTGTGCACACTTATTAATGCTAATCAATGTTATATATGTTAATGTTTTATTAATATATGTTAATAGTGTCATAAATATGTTCCTACTTTTTCATTACACTTTTAAGAGCATGACAATGTTAGAGTCTGAGTTGTGTACTTCTGGCTTTAACTTTTCCAAGTTGGTTTCATAGTCATAATATTAAAACATTTAGGCTGGCGCTGCGGCTCACTAGGCTAATCCTCCTCTTACAGCGCCAGCACACCGGGTTCTAGTCCTGGTTGGGGCACCGGATTCTGTCCCGGTTGCTCTTCTTCCAGTCCAGCTCTCTTCTGTGGCCTGGGAAGGCAGTGGAGGATGGCCCAAGTGCTTGGGCCCTGCACCTGCATGGGAGACCAGGAGAAGCACCTGGCTCCTGGCTTCAGATCAGCGTAGCGCGCCGGCCATAGTAGCCATTTGGGGAGTGTACCAACAGAAGGAAGACCTTTCTCTCTGTCTCTCTCTCACTGTCTAACTCTGCCTGTCAAAAAATAAAAATAATAAAAAAATTAATGTTTTTAGCAAAAGAAGGGAAAAAAATTTCATGATAATACTTGTAAGCCCATTACTGGGGCACAAACCAAATGACAGTCCTTCAGATTTTTTAATGTAAAATTAATATATTTTTAAATAAAAAATTTATATTTTACATATTTTATAGGTTACCTTTTAAAATTTAATTATCTGTTGAGCATCTTTCTGTGTCTAAGATAGAAATAAGTATTTTTTAATGACTGCATAATGTATGGAATCTATTTCACTAGCCGTGTATTTCAGACACAGACGTCTTCAAAAAGTTCATGCAAAATGCGTACTATGAAAAACTATGCATAGATTTCAATAATTTTTGTACCCAGATAAACTTCTAATTCTGTGTTTTCATGGACTTTTTGAAGTACCTTCATTTATTATTTTTAACTTTTCCTTATACATGCTGAACATCCATGTATAGCTCTTCATATTTAAATAATAACTTTCTTTTAGTCTATTCTTAGAATTAGAAATGCTTATAGGTTTTTAAAATTTTTTATTCATAGCTATGTTGTCTGCTAGGAAGGTGTGCCAATTTATACTGCCATGAAAAATCTATGGGAGTGTTCATTTGCCCACCACTACTGACAGAAACTATTAGAAATCTTTTGTTAATCTGACATTGAAATTATCCTGTTTTAATTTGAATTCAATTACTAATAAAGTTGAAATCTTTTCATAATTTTTTGACCATTTGTATTTCTTCTTTTTCCAAATTGTCTTTTCATATCCATCCATGTTATTATTAGTATGCCTTTTAAATTAATATTAAGAGACCTTAATAAGTTTATGGCTACTATCCTTTTTCTCTTATAAGTGTTCTAAAATTCTCTGTCAAAATGTTCTAAGTGTCTTCCATATATTTGTCCTTAGCTTTGCCATGCAGATGTTTTATATTTTTATGTGGTCCTGCCTATCAAATTTTTAAAAATAATTTAGGTAGCTGGGTTATATAGAAATCTGTTTGCAAATTCGTATAAATATCCCAATAGCTTTGATAACCAAGCTGATTACAAAAGTCATCTAATCATGGACATGCTCAAAGCAGCTAGTCAACCAAACTGATTCTTTCTTAATTTAACCAGAGAAATGGTCCATACTGCAAAACTCTATGTGGATGTGACATTTTAAATTTTTTAAGTTGTATAAGATTGCCTTATACTAGCCAGTGAATTTATCTAGAATCATGTGATGATGAACTTTCCCCAGTACTTAGCAATTATAGCCCTCTCTGACCTACTGAGTACCAGTGTGGACTGGTCACTTCCTGTTCAGTATAGTGTACCTGGGAGATTCCTCTTCTGAAGAAAGATCGAGCCTGCCTTGTCCTCTCCATGCTGAAAAGGCCATACACTTTTCCAATCTTCCTTGCGGCTAGAGAGTGAGATTGAACAGTCAGACACATACCCTCCCCCACAAGAAATTTTCTCTTGAAAGCAAGGAACCTTTTCTGGCAGCAGCAGAGAGTGCAGCACTGGCAGCAAAGTCAGTGGCCAAGGCTAGTGACAGGGGTTTGGGCTGAGGCACAGAGAAGCCTTCACCAGACCAGTTGTCTGATGTCACTTTGACTGAGGTTCTCGAAGGACAGCCTTGAAGCCTGCTTCTTGAAACCTGATAAGTCTGTGACTTCCCAATATCCTTTTCTTAAATGTGTTGTTTACACCACTGCCAGTGTTTTCTATTTCGTGCTCTTAAGAACCTTAACTGTGGTCCTCAAGGTTGTGTCTGAAGCTTACAAGAAAGTTTACCTACCACCTGGAGCACCTGGCTCATGAGGTTGGCTGGAAGTAACAGGTAGTAATAGCCACCCTAAGGAAAAAGAGGAAGGATCCATTACTGAAAGAAAAAACAACTCATGAGGCTACGGAAACAGGAGAAGAAAACTAACAAATTTACAGAGGTTCTCAAAACTCATAGAGTCCTTGTCAAGTCCAATAAAGACTCTATTCCTCATAATAATAATAAAAAGAACTATAACTGATAATAGGACCTGGGTTAAATAACATATCATTTTTATACCAATTTGGGATTATGTACACATGCCTCCCTCCCCCAAGTATACATATACTAGGTCTGGTTCTAGATTATGTATTCATCTTTCAGTATTCCTATTTCTCTGCTTTTTTCAAAAGCTTATTAGCATTTACTCTTTCAAATGAAATTTAGGATAATTTTGTGAAATTCCAGTAAGAAAACACCTTTATGATTTAGATGAAAATTGTATTAAATTTATAAATTAATTTGAAGATATTAACACCATCAATTTTTCTATACAATAAAACAGAACAACCATCAAAGAAGCAAAACTATTTTGCAGGTCAAAGAATGAGGGACTTGTTACAGGAGCTAGGTTGCATGGGATTGTGGGAGTGGGCAGAGCAACCTGTTGCCTCTGAGTCCACTGTTGAGCCTGAAGTTGCTACAGATCAGTTAGACTGGCAGGCAGGCAAAATGAAACCTTTGGAAACAAAATGGAACCTGTATTGGCCTCTCACCAAGTCCAGTTTTGATGCCATAGGAGATGTTAATGTGCTTGAGCCAGGAGCTGCACACGCAGGCCGAGGGAGAAGCTGAAAGATCTGATGGGAGCTGGAGGTCCAGCTGCTCTCCGGTGCCCACAGGTAAGCCAACAAATCAGCAACACATGCAAGCGCCACAGTGTGCCCTCCATCACCCTTCAGAGTGAAAAACGGGGCTCCTGCTTCATTTCTGCCTTCGAAATCTCCTGCAAAGTGTCTCCTGCAGCCAACATTACCCAGAACTGTACAAGGAAGGGAGTTCTGGGAAGTATAAATCCAATTTAACTAAGTAAAGACAGAACATAGCCTCCAGAGCTCTACTCAGTTATCTTTTTTGTCCCAATAAAATTATGAGTTTTATTCATATAAATTTCCCATTTAGTTTATTCTGTAGTATTTTGAGTTATTGCTATTGTGAATGTTCATTTTTCCATATATTTTTACTCATGATTATTACTGGCATATTGAAAAATTATTAGTAGTATTTATCTTGAATTATTCATACTTTACATCTAAATTCCTACAGGTATTTATGTATTTATTTGAGAGATGAATATAAAGAGATAGAAAGAGAGCTCTCATCCACTGGCTCTCTTACCCAAATGCCCACAATGGCCAGGGCTGCCCATGTTGAAGTCAGGAGCTGGGAGCCCAATCCATGGCTCAGTGGTATTCCATGTGTATCACATTTTCTTTACTCAGCAGGTAATGGACACTTAGGCTATTTTTAATCTCTTGACTACTGTGAATAGTGCTGAAATAAACATGGAAACATAGATGTTTCATTGACAGATTGATTTCATTCCTTTCAAATATATACCCAGTTACAGAATTTCTGCATCATATGGTAGTTCTTTTTAGTTTTTTTGAGCAACTTCCATATTGTTGGCCACAATCACTACACTGATTTACATTCCCACCAAGAGTGTTCAAAGGTTCCCTTTTTCTCTACATATGTGTTTTTGCTGTCTATTTATTATAATTAGTGAAACAATGTGTTGGTAATTATTATTGACTAAAGTCCATAGTTTATAGTAAGATTTATCCTTTGAGTTTTAACTACGTACATTTTGGGGGTAAAGAAGTTGAATTTTTCATTTAGTATACTTATTTTGAGATCCATCATGTTTTTATGTGTATCACTTGTTTCTTTATATTCCACATTTTGTTTACCATTCATATGTTGATAGATATTTCTCCAGTTTGGAACTAATACAGATAAACTTGCTATAAATGTTCACTTGTTTGGGGCAAGCATTAGTGGTATAATGGATTAAGCTGCAGCCTGCAATGCCAGCATCCCACATGGAGTCCCAGCTTCTCTGTTTCTGATCCAGCTCCCTGCTAATGTGCCTGGGAAAGCAGTGGAAGATGGCCCAAGTGCTTGGGTCCCTGTGACCCACTTGCAAAACCAGAAGAAACTTCTGGCTTCATCCTGGTCCAATCCTGGCTGTTGCGGGTATCTGAAGAGTGGACCGGCAAATGGAAGATCTCTCTATCTCTCCCTCCCTCCCTCCCTCTCTCTCTCTCTGTAACTCTGCCTTTCAAATAAATAAATCTTCTTAAAAATATTTCGTTGTCAGTATTTATGTACATGTACACTTTCATTTCTCTTCAGAAAATGCCTAGGAGTGGAATAACTGGGCATAGGGTAAGAGAATGGTTAACTTTTTGAGAAGCTGGAAAACTTTCTCCAAAGTGGTTGTACCATTTTTCATTCCCACAATCACTGTATTGAGAGTTCCAGTTCTCCACATTCTTATCAATGCTTGGGATTACCTTAAAAAAAAAAAAAAAAAGATTTGCTTGTTTATTTGAAAGGCAGAGTTACAGAGAAGCAGAGGCAGAAAGAAAGGTCTTCCATCTGCTGGTTCACTCTCACTCCCCAAATGACTGCTGTAAAGCTGCCACAAAGCACACCTTTTTTTTTTTTTTTAGATTTACTTTTATTTATTTAAAAGTCAGAGTTACAGAGAGATAGAGATCTTCCATGCACTGGTTCACTCCCCAAATGGCCATAATGACCAAGGCTGGGCCAGGTCCAGTAGCCACAACAACCAGGGCTGGGCCAGGCTGGAGCTAGGAGCTTCATCCAGGTCTCCCACATGGCTGCTTTCTCAGGCACGTGAGCAGGGAGCCAGATCAGAAGTGGAGCAGCCAAGACTTGAAGCAGCACCCATATGGGATGCTGGCATTGCAAGTAGTGGCTTATCCCATCAGGCCACAATGCCAACCCTGGAAATACCTGTTTTTAATTTTAGACATTCTAATCTGTGCTTTTGGTATCACATTGTGGTTTCAATTTACATTTCCCTAATAATGATGTTGAGCATATTTTGTATAGTTACTGGCTCTCTATGTGTATGTCACCTTTGGTAAAATACTTTTTCAGATATTTTGCCCATTTTTGTACTGTTTGTTTTTCCATTACTGTGTTTTGAGAGTTCTTTACATATTTTGGATGCAAGTCCTTTATCAGATATGAAATTTGAAAATATTTTTCCCAAGTTGTAGCTGGTTTTTTCATTCTATCTCTCTCTTTTTTTAAAAGATTTATTTATTTATTTTAAAAGATTTATTTATTTAAAAGATATATTTATTTATTTAAAAGATTTATTTATCTTTTTTAAAAAGATTTATTTATTTATCTTTTTTTAAAAGATTTATTTATCAGAGTTACAGAGAGGCGGTGTGGGGGGGGGGTGTCTTCCATTCACTGGTTTACTCCCCAGTTGGCCGCAACGGCCGGAGCTGCGCTGATCTGAAGCCAGGAGCCAGGAGCTTCTTTCAGGTCTCCCCCGCAGGTGCAGGAGCCCAAGCGCTTGGGCCATCTTCTACTGCTTTCCCAGGCCATAGCAGAGAGCTGGATCGGAAGTGGAGGAGCCCACACTTGAACAGGTGCCCATATGGGATGCTGGCACTACAGGCAACGGCTTTACCCACTACACCACAGCACTGGCCCCCTTTCATTCTCTTAACATTGTCTTTCAAACAGCAGACATTCTTAAATTTGAAGTTCAATGTATCAAATTTTAGGTTTTTTGTTAACCAACTTTTTCCCATCCCTTCTTCCCAGCTGCTCTCCAGCCTCTAGTAGCACCATTCTACTCTTAACTTCTACAAAAGATTATTTATTTATTTTTTGATAGGCAGAGTTAGACAGAGAGAGACAGAGAGAAAGGTCTTCCTTCTGTTGGTTCACCCCCCAAATGCCCGCTACAGCCGGCGCACTGCATAGATCCGAAGCCAGGACCAGGTGCTTCCTCCTGGTCTCCCATGCGGGTGCAGGGCCCAAGCACTTGGGCCATCCTCCACTGCCTTCCCAGGCCACAGCAGGAGCTGGACTAGAAGAGGAGCAACCGGGACAGACCCCAGTGCCCCAGCCGGGACTAGAACCCGGTGTGCCGGCACCACAGGTGGAGGATTAGCCTAGTGAGCTGGAGCGCCAGCCTCGAAATATTATTTTTAGATTCCATTATTAGATTTAATGATAAAAAATCTGTTTTCTTCTAGTAATTTTATAGTTTTATATTTTAGCAGTGTGATTTGAGTTAGTTACTGTATAAAGAGTAAGGTATAGATTGAAGTTCATTATATTTGCATATGAATATCCAGTTTTAGAACTATTTGCAGAAAAGAAATTTGTTATTGACTTATCAAAAATAAACTGACTCTAAACATACGGTTCTTTTTATGATCCTACGTTCTACTTTATCTATTTCATCATCTTTATAGCAACCCCACTATCTTGATTATTGTAGCTTTATAATAAGACTTAAAATCAGATAGCATATGTCCTTCAGCTTAGTTCCTGTTTTTCAATGTTTGTTTCCTATTCTAGGCCCTTTATATTTTCAATTTTCAAATATATGGAATGACCTATGTACAGTTTTATTGCAGGATGGAAGTTCAATCATACTCAAAAAATCATTTTGTTGTTTTCTTGTCTCAGAATTAAAACAAAACAATAGGAAACAAAAACTCAGTTATCGTACAATGTTAACTGTAATTGAATAAATGACTTCCACTTTCTGTGCCAAGTTAGAACTCAACACTGAATTACGATAGCCTTTTTATCTTTATTTCACTTACGGTTTTTGGTTAGAGGCAACAGAAATGAGGAGCCTTGGGAAATGCTGGAGTAGCTCAGAGAAGAAAAGGATAATCTGAGGAAGCTGGGCAGCTCTGAGAGCCTTAGAGACTGACCCTCAGGACTGATGTCCTCAAGATTCTCTCAGCTTTTTCTCTCGTCTCTGAGATTTTGTTTTCCTGGACTGTGTCATATATTGGAGAACAGCTTCTGAGAAGAAAAGGAACTTTCCCCACCAGCTTCACTTGGGGGAATTCTCGAAAGGAGTCTGATTGGCTGGGTGACCCTCATCACTAGATTAATGGTGTTACTAAGGGGAGGTCAGCTCTGGATAAGCAGTTTTCCCAAAGGAAGGAAACATTTGTCAGAAGGAGTATAGAAAACAGTTGTTGGTTGCACTTACCTTCCCTGTGATCCACATTGCCGAGAGAGCTGTCTGATGACCTCAAAGCAAGAGATTACAATTAGTAGACCTTCTCAAATACCCCTTGGTATATACTGCATTGTTTTTCTACAAAGTTAATTGAGCCTGTGGCTTTATAATATAACATGTAAAAGATGCCAGTTTCTAATTTGATTTTATATTTGTAAAATTACTGATGATGTTACTTTGTTTAAATGTGATATGGCAATCCATAAGCTTCATGAATATTTTCCTCTTCTTGCTATTTTAGGGTGCCAGGAATGAAACGACTGTATGACCCTATGTTTCCCATGGCTCTTCCCATATACTGACCTGTTGTTTATAATGGCATCCGAGACTGAGAAGACTCATGCGTTACTGCAGTCCTGTAGCACGGAATCTCTTATTTCCAGCCTTGGTCTGGGGATATTTTGCCTAGTAGCTGACAGAATTCTTCAGTTTCCCATAATTCAGCAAAATGACTGGATTCGTGCTCTCTCAGATAACGCAGCACACTGTGTGATTGGCATGTGGTCTTGGGCAATAGTCATTGGAATCAAGAAGAAGACTGACTGTGGAGAAATCATTTTAGCTGGATTTCTAGCTTCTGTTATTGATGTGGACCATTTTTTCCTCGCTAGATCCCTGTCTTTAAAGGTAAGAAACGTGTGTCTGGCCTCCCCTTTAATTCCTTTAGCACCATTATACTGATCTTCCCAGCATCATTTAGAACTAGGGAGAATTAGTCTTATTTAAAACTAAGAAAGCCCGGGACCAGCGCCGTGGTGTAGTGGGTAAAGCTGCTGCCTGCAGTGCCAACATCCCTTATGGACACCAGTTCACGCCCTTGCTGCTCCACTTCCGATCCAGCTCTCTGCTATGGCCTGGGAAAGCCCTAGTCCCTATACTCTTCTTCCTCTGGGGAGACCCAGAGGAAGCTCCAGTCTCCTGGCTTCAGATAGGCCCAGCTCCGGCCATTGCAGCCATGTGGGGAGGGAACCAGTGGACGGCGGACCAATCTCTCTCTCTCTCTGCCTCTGCCTCTGCCTTTGCCTCTCTGTAACTCTGACTTTCAAACAAATAAATATTAAAAAAAAAAACACCATTCATTCAATTGTTTAAAAACATTTTAAATATTTATTTTAGTTACTTGAAAGGCAGGCAGACAGACAGACATGGAGAAACAGAGAACTAGATCTTCCAAATGCCGTTTAACTTTACAAATGGCCTCAAAGGCTATTATTATAGCCTGGGCTTCCCACCATATCCGAGATGGAATTTGTCATGGCTTATGGATGGTCAGGCTGAAGCCAGAGCCAGGAACTCTATCCAGGTTTCCCACATGGGTGCAGGAGCCTAAATACTTGGGCCATCTTCCATTGTTTTCCCAGGAAGCTGGATTGGAAGCAGAGCACCTGGAACTTGAACCAGCACCCATATGGGCTGCTGTTGTTAGAGGCAGCATTGTAACCTGCTCTGCCATAGCACTGGCCCCTCATTCAACTTTTTTGAACAATTAGTACTTCCCTAAAAATGCACACAATCATGTTGCTGATCAAATTAATTTGCTAGCACACAGTGCTATGGATGCTCATAAAGCAAAGACCCACTAATTGCACCTAAGTAGTTCAGTGCTAACGTATAGAGGATGTCTTTACTCAAGTCTTTAAGGAAGTAATAGCAAATATTTTAAATGAAGTGGGGGGTGGGGGTGCATGTAATTCTCAGCTGTTTTTGTATCAGTGTTCTTTCTTCAGGACACTTACATTTGCCCCATTATTCTTTATGTTTTGAAGTTGGCATACAGCTCCTAGTTGCTCCATGAAATTGCATACCTTTAAGATGACTCTCAGTCCTGAGCATTGGCTTGAATGGACTGATTCCCTGAGTCCCTCCTGGAGCCACAGGCATGCATTTCAGTGGATTGGCTAGAGCAGCCCCTGGTGAAGATATTGAGAAACTTCATGGTGACATTTAACTATTCAGCAACCTGCCTCACAAATGAATAAAGTCAAAATGGTAGCTCAGATGATATTTTTTTAATTAATTTTTTGAAAGGCAGAGAGGAGAAGAGATATCTGCCTTCTGTGGCTCACTCCCAAATGCCCACAACAGCTAGGACTGGGCCAGGCAGAAACCAAGAGCCAAACACTCAATCAAGGTCTCCCACATGGGTGGCAGGGACCCAACCACTTGAGCCATCACCTGTTGCTTCCCAGGCTGTGTATTAGCAAGAAGCCGGAATCTGAGTTAGAACTGGGACTTGATCCCAGACGCTCTGGCATGGAATGCAGGTGTCTTGTCCACTGTGCCAAGCAACCAATCCCAGATAATATTTTCTGAATGTCTAATTTTCCTACCTTTTGTGTATTGATGATCTATAAACATTTCAGGAAAGAAATATAAACTCATAGAGCAACAACTTTTCTCTGTTACATTCACCACTGGGCTGGAAGACTGGCCAGCTCACCTACTAGTTGTTCAGTAAATATTTGTTGAACAAATGAGAAATTACCATTTCTTTCCATTACATGTCAAGTACCAAGTACTTCTCAGAACTTGTTTTGCTTACTTAGAAACACAATAGATAAGGAAACAGTCATTGCTGATGTCTAAGCAAATAAGGGGAAACTTTAAAAAAATTAATCACTCTATCAAAGACCTTGATTTCATCTTTAATGCAAAAGATATCCTTCTCACACTTTCATCTTCTTTACTTTATACATAATTTTGGGAAATATATTGTGAGGTGGCAAAGAAAATGTTTGCCCTGCATTTCTAATCTATTCTGGAAACTATTTTACAGTGTTAAGAAGCATCTATAAAATTTTGTTTTGCCAATAAGGAAATGACAGCAGCTGCTACTTCTCCCCTCAGGTGGCTTTGACTCTTCCACGAAGACCTTTCCTTCACTGTTCCACTGTGATACCCATCGTGGTTCTGACCCTGAAGCTTATTATGCACCTCTTCAAGCTCAAAGACTCCTGGTGCTTTCTCCCATGGATGTTATTTATATCCTGGGCCTCCCACCATATCCGAGATGGAATTCGTCATGGCTTATGGATATGCCCATTTGGAAAAACTTCTCCTTTGCCATTCTGGCTTTATGTAATAACCACAGCATCTTTACCTCATCTCTGCTCATTCATTATGTGTTTAACAGGGACCAGACAAGTGATGTCTTCAAAACATGGAATTCGGATTGATGTCTGAGGTAATCAGATGATTCAGGTGATGAAAATAAATGGTAGCCATACTAAAGTGGCTATCTAAAATCACAGTTAGGTACTTCTATTATTTAATTATAATTCTTGAATCCTATTGCTCAGAAGGCATGTATAATTTTTTAAAAATCATATTTTTTATAATTCTATTTCTCTCATACTTGACACTTTAGTACAGTAATAGAGTTCTATTTATTCCATGATATGTTTTCTTTTTCTTTTTTTCTTTCTTTTTTTTTTTTTTTGACAGGCAGAGTGGACAGTAAGAGAGAGAGATACAGAGAAAGGTCTTCCTTTGCCGTTGGTTCATCCTCCAATGGCCGCCGCAGCCGGCGCGCTGCGGCTGGCGCACTGCGCTGATCCGATGGCAGGAGCCAGGTACTTATCCTGGTCTCCCATGGGGTGCAGGGCCCAAGATTTTGGGCCATCCTCCACTGCACTCCCGGGCCATAGCAGAGAGCTGGCCTGGAAGAGGGGCAACCAGGACAGAATCCGGAACCCCGACTGGGACTAGAACCCGGTGTGCCAGCGCCTCAAGGCAAAGGATTAGCCTAGTGAGCCACGGCGCCGGCTCCATGATATGTTTTCATCATTTTTTCTGTTTCTGGCTTTACTTATGCTTTTGTTAGATGAACATCAAGTTTATTGGCTAAGAATATACCTCTAAGTCCATTTCCTGATGAAAATAGCTCAAATTTTAGGGTAACTATTTGTGGAAACAGCATTATATTTGAATCTACATTTTCCTGAGATATTTAAACAATGAACTGGCCAAAATGAGGTTATGAATAAGACATGTAGTGCATGCTGACATGTGTTTATTTCATAAATGTTGATCCTAACTAATTTGCAAAGTACTCTATGGGTTATGATTACTAGCAAAATTTGCTTCAGAACTCTTTTAGGATATCATCCTTGCAATATTCGTAAAAGACAGTAACATTAAGTCTTGATTATTATTCTAGAAGCCGTTTTAGAAAAGAATCATTATAATATGTTGAGTATAGTGAGTATAGTAACATTTTACTAAAATAGTATTTTTTATTATCTTTGCCCAAGAATCTCATGTTAGTATTTTAGCTGTTTGGGAAAAATAAAAATACATTTCACAAAATATTTGTTAACAAATAGCATTAGCAAAATATGTTACTTGGACCATAACCACAGAATTTGAATTCACACCAAAAAAAAATCGGCAGTAATGTCATTTCAGATGTAAACTCCAGAATGTGTTATTCCATCTGTCTTAGTTGCTGTCAATTTGTTTACATATTATTAAAAAATACTGTACAGGTTAAGCCATTTTTTAAAAATCTGTCTCATACTTCAAGAGAAAACTTTTTTTTTTTTTCAAAATAAAGTAGTTTTAGGAAATTTGCTTTTTTCCTTTGGTCTTTCAGGGTGATCTTCTGTTAACATGGTTAACCTTTATCAAAAAAAGGAAGATTTAGTTGCTGTAAATTTTACATTTGTACACGTTTATTATTTTGATGTTAAAATCAGTACCCCAAAGGTACCTGCTTTTCTTTGTGGCATATAAGTACCATCTGCTAGCTTTGTGGTTTATGATGCTATTGATTGTGTGCCTTATTCTCTGAGAAATGGTGGGTGATTCATAAAGCAATGCCTTATCCAAAGCAGGGTTTTCTTATAGACTAAGTTAAACAGAGCTTTGTAAATTGTTATGAAGGTTATAGCTCTTTAGGGAAGAAACTTGTTTTTTTTCATAATGTTAACATATTTATTCCATTATGTTGCTATGTTTTACAGTCTATTAGATTTTACAATCTGTTGTTTGTTGTCTTCAAGAATAATCATTATGTGAATTTGCTTTATTGATATAATAGCACATATAACAGTAGTAAATCTGATTAAATTGGAGATTTTTTTAAAAAAGCATCTGATTGAAGAAATACGTGGAAATAAAGTCTGTATCTTGTGTATCTTTGAGTAAATTACAAAACCCACTTCTTGTTCCTTCTCCATTTAAAAGAAATATTAAAACATAGGGCCTCATTTTAGAATGCCACACTGGCATTTCTGGAGTTGTCCTAACTTTATCCTTTATTAGAACAGGAATTCACTGTGACCATGACTCCTTGTTTAAACAATAATTACAGATTTTGTATATGGGTTTATCTCAGTTCCTACCTTTAGACCATCCTCTGTGATCCCTGAAAGTCATGACTAATCTCTAGAAAACCAGCAGCCGAGTGTCCATGCCACCTCTTTGCTCTTACACCTAGTGAAAGAATTTGTGTAACACAACATTACATTCAGAAGGTGGACTGCATCTTGTTTGTATGTGTGAAAACACTCCATTCTTCAGACATCCCCCCATTCACTCTCTTGACTGTTTCACTGATCAGACCTCCCAATCTGCTGTTTTCCTGAAGTATGTTATTCATGCTGGCTTTGAACTCTTTTCTGCTCATCTCAAATGTGGCCAACTAACAGCAGGTTAGAGTGTTTGGAGATGGTCTGAAAAAGGACCTTTGAATAATGGGATGATTAAGATGAATCTTTGAGAAGAGAAGCAGAGAGCAGACCATGGAGTATGCGGGATTGTTCAAGGTTATATTTTCAGCGTATACCAAAGCCCAGGGTATTTTCAGTCAGAACCATCAACACTTGTTGGAAGATAAATATTTTACTGGGAGTTGCAGTTGCTGGATTTAGTGTTTCTCAGAGCTACAGAATGACAAATGAAGACATTCAGTACTGTGCTCTGTCTTCAAATTGGAGTAGTCTGGTCATTTTCAAGTCTACTTTTACAACTTTTAAGACAATTACAAGGCCGGCGCCGTGGCTCACTAGGCTAATCCTCTGCCTTGCAGTGCCGGCACACCGGGTTCTAGTCCCGGTCAGGGTGCCGGATTCTGTCCCAGTTGCCCCTCTTCCAGGCCAGCCCTCTACTGTGGCCAGGGAGTGCAGTGGAGGATGGCCCAAGTGCTTGGGCCCTGCACTCCATGGGAGACCAGGAGAAATACCTGGCTCCTCCATCGGATCAGCGCAGCGCACCGGCCGCGGCGGCCATTGGAGGGTGAACCAACGGCAAAAGGAAGACCTTTCTCTCTGTCTCTCTCTCACTGTCCACTCTGCCTGTCAAAAAAAAAAAAAAAAAAGACAATTACAAATTTGTCATGCTTTTAATTTTTATTTACTTTTATGTATTTGGAAAGCAGAGACACAAAGTGAGATAAGAGAAATCTCTGCTGGTTCACTCCCCAAATGTCCACAACAGTGGGGTTGGGCCAGGCCAAATCCAGGAACTAGGAATTCAGTCTGGGTTTCCCACATGGGTGAAAGGACTCAAGTTCTTGAACCATAACCTGCTACCTCTCAGGATGTGCGCTGGCAGGAAGCTGGAATCAACAATGGAGCCAGGAGGGCGTGGTGGCACAGTGGGTTATGACACCACCTGCAAAGCCAGCATCCCATATGAGCAGATGCTCTGCTTCAGATTCAGCTCTCTGCCAATGTGCCTGGGATTGCAGCAGAAAATGACATGAGTGTCTGAGCCCCTACCACCCACACTGGGGTCCTGGATGGAGTTTCAGGTTCCTGGCTTTGGCCTGGCCCAACCCTGGCCATTTCAACTATTTGGGAAGTGAACCAACAGATGGAAGATACCTCTGTGTGTGTGTGCATGTGTGTGTATGTGTGCGCATGCATGTGTTTTTCTTCCTATTTCTCTGTAACTCTGCCTTTCAAATAAAGGAATCTTAAAAAACAAACAAATAAATAAATAAAAAGAGTAGAGCCAGGCCTTGATCCCAGGCACTCCAAAATGGGATGTGGGCATCCCAAGTGGCATCTGTATCATTAAGCCAAATGCTCATAGCTCTTTATGCTTTTGTACCATATTCCAGCCCGCTATTTTTCCTTCCAAATTGTCAGTATGTATAAGGTTTGCAATCTAAAGTCTGATGATGGCAGAGAGCTATAAAGTTTACTGGCACCTTCCACAATTTTATGGCATGTAGGCAAACAGCAAGATGATAAAGTAATTAATAGACTAAAACCTCTTGAGTGTGGAATTCTGTCAAAATCCTCTGCAATAACTGCCATATATTTTAAGTTCTGTGGCCACCTAGGCATTAACAATGATGTATATTGGGCTGTGTGTTTTTTTTGTTTGTTTTTTTTTGTTTGTTTGTTTGTTTTTTTTTTTTTTAACAGGCAGAGTGGACAGAGAGAGACAGAGAGAAAGGTCTTCCTTTGCCGTTGGTTCACCCTACAATGGCCGCCGCGGCTGGCACGCTGCGGCCGGCGCACCGCTCTGATCCGAAGCCAGGAGCCAGGTACTTACCCTGGTCTCCCATGGGGTGCAGGGCCCAAGCACTTGGGCCATCCTCCACTGCACTCCCTGGCCACAGCAGAGAGCTGGCCTGGAAGAGGGGCAACCGGGACAGAATCCGACGCCCCGACCGGGACTAGAACCCGGTGTGCCGGCACTGCAAGGCAGAGGATTAGCCTAGTGAGCCGCGGCGCCGGCACAATCTATTTCATATAATCATACCAGATTATAAAGCAATGGAATGCAAATATTATAGTGAGTCTAAATGTCAAGCCCACAGGGGGCTGGCATTGTGGCATAGCAGGTTAAGCTCAGTCTGTGACACTGGCAACCCATATAAGCTCTGGTTCGAGTCCCAGCTACTCCACTTCCTATCCAGCTCCCTGCTAATGCACCTGGGAAAGCAGTGGAAGGTAGCCCAAGTGGTTGGGCCCCTGCATCCATGTAGGAGACCGGAAGAAGCTCTAGACTCCTAGATTTGACCTGGCCCAATCCTGACTATTGTGGCCAGCAGATGGAAGCGCGTTCTCTCTCTCTCTGCCTTTCAAATAAATTTAAATATTAATAAATAATCTTAATAAATGTCTAGCCCACAAATTGAAAATTAGAAAAGTCTGACTTATTGGGGGCAGAAGCAGCATCTCACTGCTGATGCCATGCAGAGGACATTAGTTAGAGTGAGCGAGAACTTTTGACAATTGTGCTGGTTTCTTTGTGCTGTGTACAGCAGAATCTCACTGGGAACATGCAGGACTGAAAGCAGTTGTGTTTATGCATCATTTGGCAGGCAGTATCCATTGCTTTATATGTTTTGTGCCACCTTCTAGATATTATTACACATTCTGTAGGGCAGACACAGAGGAATATAACAGGAATTTTTGTTAAGATTTATTTATGTGTTCGTTCATTTGTTTGAAAGGCAATGGGACAAACAGATCTTTCAAATACTGTTTCATTCCCCAAATGGCTACAAGCAGCCAGGGCTGGGTTAGTCTGAGGCCAGAAACCAGAAGCTCCACATGAGTGACAGGGGCCCAAGGACTTGGATCATCTTCTGTTGCCTTCCCAGGTGCATTAGCAGGTAGGTGGATGGGAAGCAGAGTAGCCAACACTCAAACCCATATAGGATTGCCAGTGCCACAAGCCAGGGAAGATTACTGCTGAAGCAGTTGGGCTCCTGTCATCATGTGGGAGACCTGGATTGAGTTCCTGGCTCCTGACTTCAGCCTGCCCAGCCCTGTCTGCTGCAGGCATTTGCAGAGTAAGCCAATCAATGGAAGATCTCTCTCTCTCTCTCTCTTTCTCTAATTAATAAAATAAGCAAATAAAATTTTACAAAGAATAAAGTATGACCTAAATTTGATTGATGAAGTTCTAAATTCCCTAAAAGAATTTGTTTTTTCTTTTAAAAATATTTTATTAATAATATTTGTACTTGGCCGGCACACCGGGTTCTAGTCCCAGTCGGGGCGCCGGATTCTGTCCCAGTTGCCCCTCTTCCAGGCCAGCTCTCTGCTGTGGCCCGGGAGTGCAGTGGAGGATGGCCCAAGTGCTTGGGCCCTGTACCCGCATGGGAGACCAGGAGAAGCACCTGGCTCCTGGCTTCGGATCAGCGCGGTGCACAGGTCGCAGCAGCCATTGTAGGGTGAACCAACGGAAAAGGAAGACCTTTCTCTGTCTCTCTCTCTCTCTCACTGTCCACTCTGCGTGTCAAAATAAATAAATAAATCAATAAAAACAATATTTGTATTTATTTATGGAGTACAGGGCAACATTTCAATATACATGTTATGAATTAAACAGGACGTGGCTCCCCAAACTCATGCAGATGTGTAAACTCTTAAGTCTTATGTTAATGGTTGATGGGTTAAGGTTGTAAACTTGATCTAATTATGGCATCTGAGAGGCAGGTCAAGTGAGAGGCCTTTAAGTCATTGGATGCCTGCCCTCAGAGGTCTGTTCCTATAAGAGGATTGGCGATTTAAGCCAACTTTGGCCTAGCTTCTCCCTCTGCTTCCTGGCTCCATGTGACAGTTTGTCCATACCTGCTTTGCCACGGTCAACTCCACAAGATGCCAGCGTAATGGGCTGCCTGATTTTGAACTGTGAACCCCCAAACTGTAAGATGAAATAAACCCTTTCCTGCCTCAGAAGCTCCTTGCAGTTACTTTAGTTAAAGGAGAGAAAAACATGTAAACAGCATGTGTGCAGTGTATAGTGATCAAATCAAGGTAATCAGCGTTGCCCTGCCTCTGATATTACTTTATGACTGGAACCTTGGAGCTCCTCTCTTCTGTTTGCTCATACAATATAATAAGTACTGTGAACTGTACTCACCTTCCTATGCTGGGTGACACTAAGGACTTAGTCCTTTGACCTAACTCTGATTTGGTCTCCATTATCAGACTTCCCCTATCACCTCCTACCCCTGCCAGCCTCTATGAATCACTATTCAGTGTTCAGATTGAGTTTTCTTAGTGTCCACAGATAGGGGGGACATATGTATTTGTCCTTCTATGTCTTACAGCTTATTTCACTTAACATGCTGACTTCCAGTTCCATCCATTTTGCTGCAAATTACAAGATTTCATATTTTCTTTATTCATTCATCTACTGATTGATATCTTGGTTGATTTTCATTTGCTTTTGCAATGA